GTGTTGGCGTGTCGTTTTTTTAGATTCATAGCGCCGCGTAAGAAATTACTGATTTATACCCCAAATTACTGATTTTGAGCCTTGTGATTACTGATTTTCTGTTCTGGAGGTTGGCAGCTCTGTGTTACTGCCATTGACTATGCATAGCTCCTGTGGCGTCCTTGCAGTCAGCCAATGATTCACTCTCACTCCTATCTAATCAAACCAATATTTAGATAAAGTAAAATATAATAATAATAATATAATAATAATAATAATAATCTTTTAGTCCACTCCAAATTTTATTAAACTGAAAATGGAAATTCTTTTTGCCCAATTGATTGTGAGCCCGGCAGCCACTGAGCAGCGCCAGATCGACGTTGCTCTATCCCCTTATTGTTAAATGCCAAACAAGGTAGCAGCAACTCCCGTCTTTTAACGTCATGTATTTAAAAGTTATGTATGAAGGCATCCCAATATTTATTACTGCTCTTTCAGAGAGAGAGAGAAAACTGGATGTAAAATAATTCCAAAGACATAACCACAAGGTTTGGATTCACATCCATGATGATGTGAGTGAGAGCACTATCTGATGTGGTTGTGAAAGTATATGAATTGTTTATTGCTTTTCAACTTGGAACATAAGAGAAAATAATCTTCCATGAAAGTTTTAGAGAAATCACCATAACTATGAAATATTGCTTACCCATTTGGACTGATCTTGTAACTTCTGCTTTTGAAAGATAAATGGAACCATTCAATTTCTCTATCATAACCCTTGGTTGTAGTTTGAGTTATGCTATATACAGTCAAACCTGTCTATAGCGACCACCCAATTAGGAAAACACAAAAAGTGGTCTTTGTAGACATGTTCCTGTAGTACATGTTTCAATGAGAAACCATTTTCAAGGGAAACAAAAAAATGTGGTTTTTGTAGACAGGTGGTCACTAAAGCAGGTTTGACTGTATATTAATTGAGTAAGTCTTTGACCCCTATGACCTTCTCACCATCTCTCTACTATCCCATTGAAGGGAGTATAGCCTGACAAGACTACGTGTCTTTCCCCGTTGCCTGACTCGGGCCAATCGGGTACGTGCGTGCATCGTACGCGAAACCTAAGTTTGTTTCGCGAACGCTGACCATGTAGAGATTAAGTCGCCGACTACCGTTGATCAAGTCCATTTGTTTACGTGCAGTTGTCCAAAAGAAGACGTAGATGGCGTCAACCAGTATTTTCCAAGCTACACAGCCTTTAAAATCTCTTTCACTCCTCACTCTCCCTACTCTGAACAGAACCTTGGGGACATCGTCTCCAGGCAACGCAAGGTCAAGAACTACCAGGCCCTGAAGGACGGCAAGTACACACTGCTCTGCAAGACGGAGGCTGCCCTCGAGGCAGAGTCCAAGAAACAGCTGGACAAGATGCAGACCGTTGCTACCATCGCTGACCGTCTCATCACCGAGTTCCCGCAGATCCAGCCGGCCATGCGAAGCGTCCAGATGGTGCTGAGCTCAAGGGGTGCAGCTGATGATGAGTTATGGTAAACAGATCAAAGCATCTCTAGCGGGTACTACAGTTCAACCTCGTTGTAACGATCTCCCAGGGACCAAGGAAATTACCTTGTTATATTGAAACCTTGTTATATCAGGGCTACAACACAATAAAATATAAAGAACTTGGACCAACAAAGTTGCTTTGTTATAACATTATTTGTCTTTTTCTATAGAGGTTCCAATGTAATACCACTCTGAAACATTGATATGTCATGAAGACTTTTGATTTAGGATGATTTAAAGCAAAAGCTGCCTTATTGAATTTGATGCCAGCTGGGGGAAAGCTTTTGCTTGGGTTTTTAATAAACACTCGCTACCCAGATATAACACTGGAATTGGATGCACTGTTTATGGATTGTGTATCATTGGTATAGCATTAATCATCTGCTGAAAGCCTTTAGAAACCTCCTAAAGATTTACTGTACATAATTGTGATACTCAATATATCTTTATAGATTCTCATGTATTTATTGTTTATATGACAAAGATAACAATTTTCGGGACATTCCCCAACATTTAAGTGCGGTATCGTGTTCCAACATGTTTCCTTTGGCTCATCTAAATCATACTACCGTATTCGATTGTATTCATGACCTGAACAGACAGATATGAGGTTTTCATGCTTCTCCAGTTAATTTTTATCACCACTATAATGAGGGTACCACATACATGTTGAAACCATTTGTCAATGTGGTATACCTAATATGGCAATGCACTCTGACTTGTTTCATCCCAACAGGTGTTTTATGATAGAATGCAGATGTACATGTATGAGGGATAAAACATTGTGACGGAGATCATTCAAAGTGATAAAAATATAAAGTAAGGATCAACAAATGCCCTGAAAATGGAGAAACAAACAAAAGTAATCCGGTACAATATCGAAAATCACAATATTGAATCAAAATGAATCACAGAGTTTTTATCATTTCGTCACATTACGTCACATAAATTGTTAATCTACATTGTGCGCGATAAGGTAAATATCACGCCATAAGATTAATGAAGTTGGTCAATCCAGAAAAATGCTAAATAGAATAACATTGTATTGTCAAAGCGGAGAAGCCTATAAGAAATATTAGAACAAGTGTATAGTTTGACATCAGAAATTCTGTGCTTAATTTCACTATTTTATGAAAAACTAATGAAATTTTGTGTGTAATTCATGATTAAAGAATTTTGTAGTAAAGCATAGTTATACATCACATCTCTCTACACCATACAACAGAAAGGTAAATTATAGAACAGCACCACCTCTCTCAAATTTTAAACAGCTTGATAACTTTCGCAGAAAACTATCTGGAAGAAAAGGTTGTGTTTTAATTCACTGCTTTTCAAGCTGGATTCCATTAAAGAAATATGTGCTACACCACAATTATATATGCAATAAATGAAATGTTATGTATATCCCATGTGAAGGAATTTCTCTATACAATTTGAATTGAATTTTAGATTCTTCGCATGGGTATATCTGTAACTTCAATATTTAGTAATGGTTATACTATGTCACCTTGATACATGCAAATAGACTTATTATTTATGATCTCCATATAAATACAAAATAAAATTCATATTCTTTGAAAGAGAGTATTAATTGTAATGTTAACAATGGTAGTGTAAATATTTGTATATACCTGAAAGTGCAGAACTATTATATGTATTACATGTGTGATGAATGGAAGAAAAATGTTTATATTGTATGTACTTGGATCTTTCTAGAGCATATTATATACAGCATTGCTGATATTCAACCCCTATCAATTTACTTTTCAAAAGGATTTGTGAAATAAAATATTGTATGTGTACAAATCAGTTGGACAAAAGAAGAAATCTTTAAGTCTAATTCTTTGTTGTGTTGGTATATATATCTTTGACATTCTGTCTGCCTTTCTCTCTCTCTCTCTCTCTGTCTCTTTACCTAAATACTTCTGTTTCTGTCTCCTTGAAGTCAGTCTGCTTTTCTCTCTCTCTCTCTCTGTCTCTCTCTGTCTCTCTCCGTCTCTCCCTCTGTCACCCCCCTCTCTGTCTCCCTCTCTCTGTCTCTCTCTCTCTCTCTCTCTCTCTCTCTCTCTCTCTCCCTCTCTCTGTCTCTTTACCTAAATACTTATGTTTCTGTCTCCTTGAAAGTCTGTCTTCCTATTTCTCTTTATTTACCTGTCCCCCTTTCTCTTTATCCATCAAATGTGGTATTCTGAAAATGATGTCATTTTGAATGTTTTAAAACAATCGTAACAAATCACAATCATAAGTGACTGCATGTGCTACAGTCAAAATAGACCTTTGCAAGCACCAATGATAAGTGTTGATTTCAATCAATTTTAGTTTGTTAATTAGGACTATTGACATTGTTTTCCTTACATAAAAGATATATAGTTTTCAGAGTACAGGCTCCAGTCTTTTCTCTTGTTATACCCCCCCTGCCTCTTTCTCCTCTAAACCTCTCTGACAATTCTTTTCTCGAAACTTGGCCTGAACTCTCGTCTATCGTTTGACTACTTTTGTTGTTGCTCTCGCTGATCTCTTTCTCTTTCTCATTCTCCCTCTAGTGTCTCTCTCTCTCTCCAATACAAAATAAGATAGATATGTAGAAAGAGAGAGAGAGAGAGAGAGAGAGAGAGAGAGATGGAGGAAAAAGTGTGTGTGTGTGTGGGGGGGGGGGGGGGGGGGGGGGGGGTGGTGTAGAGAATGGAAAGGGGCCTGGGCCAGGTAACCCGGCCAATGAAACTGATTTGATTGGCTGTTTAGTGATGTTGCCATGGTAGCTGATATTGATTGCAAAGTTACCATCAATAGTAAGGTTTATGCAACTGGCCTCTCTTATAATTAATGCAAACAAAAATACTCAAATGGGTCTTATACACATTCATCACTCAGGGAACTGCATGCATATCAAACTTACTAATTAATAACAGTTGCTGTTAATTGCTTTTGGCAAAGTGCATGGGATATGACCATACATCCAAAAGCATTTTCTTATCTCTTATTATAATGTGCTTTTCTTATAAAGATTTCCCAATGTCTTAGTTTATGAAAGTAAATGCATTACCCTACCCCCCCCCTCCCATCAACAAGTTGTTCATGCAATGAGTATACTTTTGTTTATATAGGCACATCATAATCCTTTCATTTTTAAAAGATCATTAAAAACAAACTTAAAAACAGGAAAGTTGTCCTAAAACAGAAAATATTAAATTTTAAAATAATTAATTTAGGATAAAAAATATAGGAGGATCGAGCTGCATGTCCGACTAATTGCCTCAAATGCTGACATGCCAGTTGACTAAAAGAATAATAAATAGATTAATAATAGTTATTCATCCCCAAAGGAGGTGGGAATGGGTCAAAGACATGAAAACCTACTGTATGAAACATCTTCAAGCAAATAAAGAGGAGGGATCCAGAGTCCAGACCCATAACCCCCAGCCCTTTTAATCTGCACCTTGAAATACGGATGGGATGGGAGAGAGGCTCGAGGAGGGCGGAGAGCGCCCCTGGTGGGCGCGGCGGGCGCGGCCTTCACTGTACTAACAATTTCGCCGTAGGATTTCGTGATTACGTGATAGACTAAGAGAAGCATTCCGATACAGATCGACGCATTATGTAAGTTTTATCTCACTTTAGCTTATGTTACAGTCTGATTATATACTTTAATTATAGTACAGTTTTTATGTTTATATATACATGTAAACGAAACAGAATATGTCATATTAAAGATGTAATGAATAGTATTTTGAAGTTAAAATATCCCGTTTTTAACTTCGAAGTGTACGGACACTTGTTACTCGCTTTCCCGGCTCGCGCCCCGTGGGTTGACGCTGACTGGGCCGGTGGCGCGGCCAAATTGGTTCAGCTGAGAAGGTCGGGATTGGTGCAGCTCTAACAAGTTTTTGAAAGCTTATCTAGATCTAAGTTAGACGTGTCGAATCGTTGGACGACATGGGCCAAATCTTGAAATTTATTGAATAAAATTTCTGACTTACGCCTCTTTCAATGGTGTGAGAATTAACAGTGCAAAAGATATTTGAAATCGAATTTGAAAGTTTTGGGTTACTTGGCCTTGGGCGGGCAAGTGTTACTTTGGTGTTACAAACAAAATTACAGTTTAGTTTTCTTATAATAGCCTAGTTTATTTTCAAAACAGAAATATGGGACCATGTAAATATTATGAATTATTGGTTTGTATTCATGAATGAAAAAATGTCATATATCTAGATCTATTTGTACTTCAACAGTTATAATCTAGTAATAGTTTGTCCGCCTATGTTGTACATGCATTTTTTAGTAGAGTCTTTTGACTTTAGACTACAACTTAGACTTTATAAGTTCATTGACACTTCTATTTTCTTTGTTTTGTTGTTGTTGATTATTTTGTTTTGTTATTTCAAAAGCTAATGTATTGATGTATATACATGTACATATTTCAATGTTGTTGAATAAATTAATTCATTGCAGTTTATGCATGATTATGTTGTGTAGAAGAAGTCTACTAGCTTCTTGAGCCGTTGAGGTTCATTTTCGTTTTTAGACCTAGTCAGGCTCAAAGATCAAAGTTCCATAGAGAAATATACACTCAAATAAGTTTAACAGTTGTACATGTACATGTCTACATGTATGTGCAGGACTCAATAATTTTGTTTGCAAAAAAAGATGAAAGTAATTAAAAGGAGAAAAGAAAGAAAAAAGAAGAAAAAATTGTTATAATGGCTTTGATTTAATTTTAAGAGAACTTTTGATAAAGTTCAATACTGAATGTACAGTGTAGGTGATTTTCTATCGGAATGTTTTATCCAAGCATGCATTTAATGTAGAGTGCTGTGGTTTGGCTATTGACACACTAGCTGAACTACACGATGCATTAATTGCATTTTATTCTAGTTTCTGATGGTGTTGACTCTCATTTCATCCTGATATCAATGATAGCCTGCTTTAACACTGACTAAGTAATACTAATAGTTAATTTCAAATGAAAATATAGGTTCAGCCGAACGGTTTATGACTTCAATGTTTTTCAAAATTAAAAAAAAGAACCTTTTACAATTGAAGAACAAGTAATTTCATTTTTAGTTGAAAATGTTTAAGCATCTATAGGGCTAGGCTTTCCAATTCCAGTGAATAAAGTGTTCATTTTTATTATGACCTAAAAGATTTCTTGGTATTTATGAGGCACTGTGTACATATTTTGTAATTAGCCCACATTTACCAAAAACACTTAGGCAAGTTTGTCACTGGTCAAGGGTCATTTGGTGAGAGGTGCATGTATGTAGGTTTGCTTAAATACGTCTGGGTTCATTGATTCTACCATTATGTACAGTCATACATGAGGTTTGTTTACAAAGTCCTGTTTTTACTGATGACATCACATCCTGATGTTTGCAGAGTCATAATCTGTAATGGCCAATTCGGGTGAAACAAAAGAAAATCGAAACAGCCAGAAAACCTGCTTTGATCAGGCAACCAGATTCTAGAGTTCTGAGAAGTATAAAGCAATGCCAAGTCCATGGCCATAGTAGGCCATCCGTTTCTAAATACCAGCATTTAATTCTCAAATTACACCGATCTGAGATAGTTCATGGTGGTACAATGTATAACTTTGTACATCAGTCTGATAAAGACAGAAAGCATGGTAGTTTACATTTTCAGCCATAAGGTTGATTTATGACCGTTTCTTACATCGTTTTGGAATCGGAGCTGGAATGAAATTTAGCAGGAAATCAGAGATTATCTGTGTACAGGAGCATCAACCATTACCGGATGTAAAAATTGCTCAACAACAAATTATTTTTATATATCCATTGACAAGCAGCACAGTTTGACTCTGAGAGTGTGAGTATTAGTGACATCACTAAATTAAATCTCTCATGATCTGTTTAATCTATGATCATAAAAATATGTATTTGCTTAACCTAAATTAATAACTTAAGTAACTACCAGTACGTGCTATTAAAACAAATCTGTACAGTGTAATATTTTTTTTGTGTGTGTGTGTTTGTTTGTCCTTAATATTGTTGATGCTTGTCACAGATTAAATCTTGTAATCCATTTGTGGTTTATTTTCAGGCTTAACAAATGTTAATTGATGTTTGTCACAGATGATGCATCTATTTTTAACATTTATATTGTATGCTCTTGTTTACTTTTAGGCTTTCACTTTTTAATTGGATGCCTTTTTTATGCTACTTGTACAGTACAAAAGAATTAGATTTATTGTAAATGTAATAATTTGGGTCATTTTCACTCTAATTTTAGCAATATTTTAGTCATTGACCAATGGGGTTCTTCAAAAAGTTTAGCTCTCGGCCAATCCCCGCTATAACGTGTCCGTATTTTCAAAGGGATTTAAAATTGACATTTTTTTCCGGCTCAGTTACAATTGCAGGCAAGTAGGTTGATAGGTAACACATCCATGGTTTACAACGCTACACGTACATGTACATGTGTGTTGTCTCTCCTCTAACCAATTCTTTTTTCATCCTTTAATTTTCTAATATGATTTCAAATACTATCTTATCTACGTTGTATAACTAGTCAAGACATACACATCATGTTTTTACAGGAGGCACAGAAAGTACATGTAATAGTGTTTTTAAACTTTTAAAAACACTGCATTAGATGTGGTTCAGGTGATGCAGGGGGATCAAGAAGTCATTTCATGTACTACAATTTAACCATTAATTATAGTTTGATGATATCCATGACTAAATCCTCCCTTTTTTTCTCTTTTGATATCCAGATTGGCAGATTTGTGAAACTTCTTCTATGACTGCATAGTCAAGACGGCTTAGAGATGATTCGACGGAGAGGAAGGAGTCAATCCATTTACCACATAGTGGAGAAGGATGCGGATGTCGATGAGGATGAGCATATCGATATACAAGAGAGCAGCGAAAAGTAAGTGACAGAACATTTGTGGTGTATGCTTAAATAGGATGATGATGGTGATGAGGATATCGATAAGAGAGCAGCGAAAAGTAAGTGACAGAACATTTGTGGTGTATGCTTAAATAGGATGATGATGGTGATGAGGATATCGATAAGAGAGCAGCGAAAAGTAAGTGATAGAACATTTATGTTGTATGCTTTAATATGATGATGTGGTGATGAGGATATTGATATTCAAGAGAGCAGTAAAAAGTAAGTGACTGAACATTTGTGGTGTATGCTTTAATATGATGATGATGGTGATGAGGATATTGATATTCAAGAGAGCAGCGAAAAGTAAGTGACTGAACATTTGTGGTATATGCATAAATATGATGATGATGGTGATGAGGATATCGATATTCAAGAGAGCAGCGAAAGTGACTGATCATTTGTGGTGTATGCTTTTTATGAATGCTTTTTGGGAATTTGCCTTTATGAACTTTACTGAGTGCATTGTGGAGGTGTCGGGGGGGGGGGGGGGTATGGTGGTTCATTCACTTAAGGGTTGATGGTTTGAAATCCAACCTAGCACCAACATCCATTGGCAAGACATTAATCTACATTTGCCACTCTTCACCCAGGTGTAAATGGGTACCTGGCAATTGCTGGGTTAATAAAACAATTGCAGGGGATGTCTCTTGGGTATGCTACATGTACATTATGTTTCTATAGCTGATTGTTTAGAACAGGAGTTTAGATACATTAAGAAGTCAAGTTAAGGCAAATTATACGATTTGAAATTAGTGCAATTTTTAGCTCAATTATTTAGGTACCGTATATCTGACAGATTAAAAACACTGTTGTCTGTTAATCATCATTCTATTGCAATATTAAATGACTATCAAATGCAATGTAGCTGTATATGATAGCTAATCTAGGAACTAATTAATTAAGGCAAGGCTTCACACTGAGGTGGCAAGGGGCAGGGTAATTAGGCAAATGACCCTTTAGGAGTTGGAAATAGTTTCTCCATTGTGGTCAGGAAAAGCACCCTCCCTCTTTTATCCAACATCCCTCAAATGGCCATGCTAATATATACATCATGATCACATGATAATTAGCATGGAGCTTTCATTAATTAAAGTTATTTATCCACCTGGATTAATGTGAAATATTATCTTTCAGCATTTCTAAAAATGCGGTCTATTACAAGATATGTCCGGTGATCATTTACAAAAATGTATGTGTGTATCTCTAGAGTGTTCACTTGGTATGAGAATAGGAGCTTGCCAGCACTGAATCAATCAGCTAATCGCTTTATTCAGTTGCATGATATGCATTCATCTTCATACTTTTATGTGCTTGAATGTTCCCTCTCACAATGGGTAATATTTTGGATTATGTAGCCAGGAAATGTTTACTTTGTCCTGACATTTGTCCTATTAGGTAAGATATCAATTCAATTCAATATATGTCACTTTGTCCCTTTAGGGTATTTTACAGTGTTTGATCTGCAGCAAAGATGATTATATCATTATCCTACAATGTGTACAGAGTGATTATATTACTGCTATAAATACAAAATACAAAAAATAAATCAAGAGGAAAAACTAAAACTAAACTATACTACGTATGATGTTATTTTGGGCTTGTAAAAGAATTGCAAGTGTAGGAAGGAATGACGTGATTGATATTTCTACCTAAACAAGTTTCTGAAACACATGTAAGTTGATTTAATAAGGAATTTGGCTTTTTGAATGGATAATGGAACTTTCCCTTCTGCAGAGTTGCTGCTATGGATGGCAAGTTCTTTGAACAGTTTATAGCCTTGAGATTTGCTGATGGAGAAGCCGGCCAAGATACATTCAAACCCATTCAGGTAAGTTAATTGAAGCATTTACAAAGATAGTTTTACAGTCAGGGCTTGAAAATGGCTTTTAGTGGGGAAAATAATGACCATTAGTTGTTGAATTGACTTGATTGCAATCACTGAAGTGAAAGTCTAATTTTCAGACCCTTTTACCGAATGGTCATACATTTTGTGCGGCACAAAGATTCAATCAGTTTAATTTTGGCCATTACAATTTACTGGGTTATTGATGTAGACAAATGCTCATGTACCTGTTACAGCTCATTTTATGTATGTTATTACCAAAGAATTTTTTTTCTCACTCAGTCACTCAGTAGTGTCTGACAGTGAAGTCTAGCAAGTAAACAGGTTTCCTTGCATAATTTGAATTACTAGGACACTGCTAATGTTTAAATTTCACATATAGGACATACACTGTACATGACATATTCATAAGTTCTACTTAATTTGATGTTGGCTGCAAAAGGGACATAGTATCTTTAAATGGAGCAGGTCACTAAAGACATGCTTGACTGTAACCAGCATACATGTACATGCACAAAGTAAATGGATAAACTGACAATCACGAAGAATACCTGTGCCCTGTCAAATGTCTTTTAATTGCTAAGCAAGACCCCCCCCCCCCCTTTCTGCTGGGAACAAATGGAGCTTTTATAGTGGAACTTTTTAAAGTAGTTTTATTACTGTTTTCACTTTTGTCAATGTGGGTCCATGAGTGGTTAAGTGGAGATTACCGGTAGAAGTTTTTATAAGAACCAAACAAACCTTGCTAAGGTTTGCAGATTGTGAGTCTGGCCAAGAAGTGTTCAAACCCAGTTAGATACTTGGATGAAAACAATCTTCTACAATTTCTTTTACATTCATACTTGGCTAGTCCTCTTCAATATAATAAACCTTGAAAGGATTTTCCATGAAACCCTTGCTGTGTCTGGAGCTTTCATGGTTCCTGATTTGAACAAAACATGAAGGATATATTTGTGTAGCTTCTATCCAGATAATTGGTATTAATCTTCTTTTCAGATCTAACCATTCTACAGTTCATTGGTTTCTATTTCTTAAAAATAAAAACAGATCTGAAATCTGGTACACATCTTGCATTTTCTCAAAAATGTTAATACTACCCTATTAATTTTCGTTTAAATATCCAGAAGGTTTGGTTCATGCTTGAGCATTAACAATGTTATGAATAATCTATGGAGCAATGTATAGTTAAACATTACCCGACTAATCTCACTAGGCCTGTCTTCACTAGCTCGAGTTTGCCAAATAACCCGCTATTTTAACTATCCCGACCGCAAATTATCCAGCTAATTAGCGTCCTCATCAGCCCGCAGTTGCAATTAGCGGGATATTTGGTCAAGAAAATTTAAGGGATATTTTGGAAATAGCAGGCTAAATTGTGCCCGTCCGAGCTAGTTTGTGATTCATTAGCGTATAGGTCTGGTGAGGACGCAACTTTGAGCTTCAGGATAATACCCAGAATCTGAAAATAGCTGGTTATTTGGCAAACTCGAGCTGATGAAGACAGGCCTACTGTAATTATGTAGGATAAAGCATGCTGGAACCATTTGTTTGTAAACATGAAAAAGGGAAGAAAGAAAACAATAAGACATTGGAGGTTGTGCCTGTTTAAAAAAAAAGAAAATATCTCCAATCAATCATCACAAACTTTGCACAGGAAATCAAGTATGAATGTCAAACAGTGATTTGATCTGCTCTCAATCCCACTGTGTGCCTGTGAGAAATATGCCCAGGTTTTCCAACCTTTTCCTGGATCATTTTGCTGCATTTTACTCTGTATTTCCTCCTTTTTTATACAATACCCTCAGTTTGTATATCTTCAATGAGCAATAAGGCAGTAATCTCAGCTAACTTGCATGAATCTGTCCAACTCTCTATGCGGCCACATCAGGAAGAAGCAAGTAAATATGAAAAATATGCAAACCCAAAGAGAGAGATAGATCTACATGTATGAAAACATTAATGTGGAAAAAGCATAAAGGAACAAATGAATAAAAGGAAGAAGAAAAAAAAGAACAAAGAAAAAGAAAGAGAGAAAGATGAGATAGAGAGAGAGAGAGAGAGAGAGAGAAACAAATTTTCACATTTGAGTGATTTGACACTTTTTGGCCTAAATAAAGTGAAATATTGGAACTCTTGTATGTACTTCAAAACATATTTCTCTACTGGCACAATTCCAATACGCCAATACAGGGGCAGAAACTGAAACCAATTAATGCTTCTTTATTGATTATACCCATCAATTGAAAGAATTCTATATCTTTTTCCTTCTTCAAAGATCATTTCCGTAAAGGAAAACACTTTAAGTGGTTGCACTTGCTCAGGAAATATAGAGGAAGCAGTAACAACTGTTTAAATGGAAAGTGTCCCAAAAATGGAAATAGCAATCGTTCTGCATGTACCTTTTTGTACAAATCTAAAAGAGACTATACAAAAATCGACTATCTAATTTTTTGACCAGAAAGTTGAAAAGTAAAGAAAGTTATTTAAATTTCTTTTAAATTGTATTTCACCAACTCATAAAAGTGATGTTCACATCTCACATGTATGTTAATTTTATGTTTTTATTTATAAATTATTATGTGTACACTGTGCATCTAAATTAATCCACTAGTGGCATTTAATAGTCTAGTCTCAGAATAAAAGGATTACCAAAATTTCAGAACATGTAGCTGGGATTGTAAATTTCAAGTACCGGTACATCTAAGGATCTCATTGAAAACAGTTCATATCTTTCATTTGTCCTTGTTTGCTTAAATTCTTGTGAAATTGTAAATATTGAGTGAAACTGAAATCAACAGTGTTCACTTTGTACATGTACTGTACATGTTTATATTCAGCTCTCAACACAAACATACTGTACATGTGTATAATAAACATATAAGTTGTATGACACATACATGTACAGTGTACATGTAGACCCCTAAAATTAAACCATGTACCTCCAAACATTCTGATTGGTCCAATGCATCAAGACCTAGAAAAAAACCCCAAAGAATTAGTATAGACTTTGTGGAGTGCCCTATAGTGATGTAATGTGAAAGGTTATTTGTGATCCCCAGTATTTTCCTTCACAGTTACATGTAATGTACATGTATAACTGCAAACTTTTCACAATACACCAGTACAGGTCAATATTTGCCTTGATACCATGTACATTGTACACATAGTCTACTATTTCTCAAATCAATTTTTTTTTATTCCATGTGGCCTTTGTTTACATTCACAAAGGATCTTCTGCTCTATTTCCTAACAAACCATTTTATTTGATGAGATACCACTGTCAATACACTGCTACTCTTGATAAACACAACCCTTTCACATTCATATTCATATTCATATTTATTTCACTTCCAACAGAAAGGTAAACAAAGATATTATACTTATAATAGATATTATAGTTAATGCATAACATTGAAGTTATGCATTACGTATAAATAAATATATATGTATGGTGATGAATCACTCTTTATTAGAGATCATGCACAAACAACCAGGCATGTCAACCCAGTGGGTTAAATGATAGGTTATAATCAACAATATACCTGTAGTACAATTACTTTACCTCTCCGACCACGGAATATCAGAAGTATAGATCAAAGAGAGAGAAAGGAAATGATGAAAAATTAATGTATAAAAATTGATAAATTTCACTGTAAGGTATTGATCAAATTACCATGCTGGATCACGTCTTCCTTGAAATACTACATATGAACTGAACAGAACGGCCTTCAATTTTGGGTCCCCGGATTTAGGGTATCTAGCTGAGTTACTGATTTTGAGTATTTCCTTTAGACGATAGTTATTTTGTGGGGTTATAAGCCAACATGAACCAATTTCAATACACACTAGTTTGCTCAGATTCCACCCTGTTGCTGTTAAGCATGTGTGAGGCTTGCGTATCTGTCTTGTTTTCGTTGATGTGCCTTGTCAATGCTTATTTCGAAGGGGACTGTGAATGTTAATTCACGAGATTCACAAACCGTGAGATTATAGCCTTCTTAGAAAGTAATTGTAACACTCTGCAAAATTCTCTTTCTCCTTTTGTAAATATCCCTCAAAGGCAATGTAAATCCTTTTACTGAAACTTACTGTTGACACTTAACTTGTTTGCCTTATAAATACCACCTCTGTTCATACATGCCTTTTCCCTCAACACATTTCATGTCAGTATATACAATTGCAAACCTAATTTCCTGATACCATTGCGGCCCTTCATCATTCTGTGACAAAAAATCAATACCTGCCTGTACATGTACTTGCAGGTTCATTGTGTTTCTTTGTTCAAATAACATTGATCTTCTATTTATGTTTCTTTTGTTTAGGATTCATCAGCAAACAACAACTCTGCCATCGATTTCACCCAGTGTAGGGGCATCTATAAAGACATTTCCCGTCCAACTCACAAAGAGGTATTGTATACAGAAGGGATACAAAATAGTCACTTTGTATCCTTAAAAGTATTTTTTATCCTAAAAAATGTTACTCTTTATTTCTCAATCTACTTGGTTTAGCAAGTAGTTGCATCAATGTAACCAAATGTAACCAACAACTTGATATTTTGCTGAGAATATTTACATATGTTATACCCACCCTCTCCCCCCCCCCCCCATAAAAAAAAAAAGTTACCCTCATATGTGAAGAAGATGATTTATTAGAGTTTAAGGATAAGGAAGTGATGGTTTTGTTTTTATGTCTATCCCATTTCCTAAGCTCCATTGTTTAATTTGACAAAAGAAGGATGTTGATATAAAGTAGCACATGCTGAATAGGATAATCATTTAAAAATTATCTCATAACTTGTATCATGCAGTAAAAGTCACACAGTAGTTCAAATTGTATTACTTCCAAACCAACGTGAACAGGCTTAAGGTTTTGATACTGTTATACATAGTGCAGTGGGGCTTTAAATGAATTTGTAGATCCTGCTCATATGATATTACTATGGTCTAGTGGATTTGACTCCGTACTATGGATCACATGGTTGGAGTCTCGTCCTGACACGATCGTCTTTGGGCAAGACATTAATCTAATTTCGCCACTCTGTACATGTTATGTATACTCTATTTTTTCATTATTTTCTTCATAAACTCAAGTTTGCTGAAAAGATTTTGAAATTAATCATGATAATTTTGAACGAATAGTGATATAAGTCATTTATGGATCACTTTCATTTTAACTCCCAATGCTATGATTATATTGACATTTTTTCCCTCCAAATTTGCCAACGTAACTATTTTGAATGAATGAATGAATGAATGATTTATAAGACATTTTCTTTGAGAAGTTTCTGTATGGTCTTTGTACATGTAGGCTGAGTTCTTCTACAAATCTGCTCTCATTACAATCAACCAGAGACTTGGGGTGAACTATGAGATGAAAGACCTGCCCAATGCTCAGCTCTTTAAGTATGCACAAGAGGTGAGAAATCAATCAAACCTGCTATACTAGTGGTCACCTGTCTACAAAGACCACACTTTTTGTTTCCCTTGAAAATGGTTTCTCATTGAAACATGTACTTAAGGAACCTGTCTACAAAGACCACCTGTCTACACAGACCACTTTTTGTGTTTCCCTTAGGCGGTCACCATAGAAAGGTTTGACTGTATATAAACAGAGTGTAATTCATAAAAACTATAAGTTAAATATCACAAGATGGTCTTATTTACACAATTTAGGCTAATTGATAGTGATTGATACTGCTTGTTCTGAGGGACTTTGCAGTTATTAATTAGTAGTGCCCAACAGTATTTTTAATATAGGAATGACTGTGTGTATTAAAAGAGAAAGCCCCATTTACCAATTCATTTCAAGGTATGACAACGCTGAATAATGATGAGAGACAATCCTGATGTTCATGTATTAATTTCATTATTTACATTTTGTAGAGTGGTTTGGAAACAGTCTATCTACTGGCATTTGAGTTTTTTGTTGTCATCATTTGTGCGTGTGGTTGCCACCTTTTAATTCAGGATGAGGCAGAGCATACAGGAAACCGGTTTGCAATGTCATTGTCTGGTTTCATGTTGCTTTTGAAATCATTTTTATAGCATGGTGAAAATATGATATTTTGTAACTGTACATTTAGGTGTATGAATAGTGGTTAGTGCATTGTAATATTTGTGTGATTAGGAATGCTTAGATTCTGTTTTGTGCAGGAAATGTCTGGTACGCCCACATGTAACTGAAAGAATTCTCGTGATGATGATAATGATGGTGATGATAATGAGGATGTTGATGACGAGGATAATGAATTTGATGATGAAGGCGATGATTATAATGATAACAGTGGTTGATGACAAAATTGATGATTATGATGATAATGATTTGCAAATTATGTTTCTTGGATCTTTAATTAAGGAACCATAATTCCTTTCCCGTCACCCTCTCTTTCCCCCTTTTCTTTTTTTCCACAGACCTTGAATGTAAATCCCCAAGAACATGAAGCACTATTAGAGAGAGTGTCAAATAGCCTGGTAAGTTAGTCACTGATATATTTTCAAATGAAAATAGATTAAGCCCTGAGAGTCCATGTACAGTTCCAGTCAATGATGATGTATCCTGTATGTTTCCACAAAGCTGCATACCGGTATGTATTCAGCTTTGTCTTGTTATAAGTTATTTTATTTCTAAAGAGGAGCAAGATCACAGTTTTCCTTGCTTCATGTATTACTAATAAAATATCTTGTTATCTAACCAGTGTTATCTTGTTTTCATTCAGTCATTAGTCTTTTGTAAATGTGCCCAATAGGAGCATTTAGACCTATGTTACTAGGAATCTAAAAAAGCTGTTAAAGGGATCTGGTAATTTTGTCTCAGATTCTAAATAAAATCCTTGATTTAGCTCATCCTGCAATGACAATTATAAACCTTTAGGTCAGTCAGGAACCCCATGACTTTTACAAGCCAATCGCCTGTCTGATTATGAAGATATTTATGATTGGAAATCGAATCCAAATTTTGTGTTTGCCAAATGGTTTTCACAACACTAGAGTCTATTGGGGAAAACGAGTATGGTAAAACCGGTCACTCAACTTTTTTGAAGCGCAATTTTTTTTTAGGGCTTCAATATTACACTATATTACAGACACTGATAACATCTCAGCATCTCAGATTTAACATTGTTACACGATGCCTTTAAATGTAGTTAAAAGCTTTTGAAATATTAGTAATGTCAATATGGCTGTTTATATTATTTATGTCGCAAATTTTTTATAGATTTGATATTTAATTGAGCATTGATTTCCAATTAGTACTTGTACATCAATTTATCTCTCCCCCCCTCTCTCTCTTTCTCTGTTTAACTTAGTTTTACTAATACTCTCTCTTTGTCTATCTTTCTCTTTGAACATTTGACAGCCGCCTGCTCTAATCATGGTTGTGGATGTAATATCAGCTAAAGGTTTGCTGGCAAAAGACTCAAATGGTAAGAAAAGAATTCAGTTAGGAAAATAAGAAAATTAAGATTATCTTACATTTTAGACTGGTCCTTATAATGTTGTAAGAGTGATACATTTCATAATGGCATACCACACAACCTAATTTTCAATTCTGGAATAAGAGGAATGAGTTCCAATATGAAGAATATTTTGCTGATTTTGCACCCTAGTGCCTGATGTGTACATGTTCTAATAATTGGTGAGACATGCATATTGATAAATTGTTATGTGGATGTCACTTTGATAAATTTGATAATTTAGTTAAGAAAATTGAAAACAAACAAATCAGCACTTAAGTGTTTCCAAATCCTATTTTGTACATTGTAAATGATAAGTCGTTTCCTGTGTTGAGTAAACACCATATCTCCCTTTCCAAATAGTATGATTTCCCTTTGATAAATGTGTGAGTGCATACAGTTGTACAGTGTGATAATTAATTTGCGTGGGCATAAAATGAATTGATAAGAAGGATTAGAGTAATAACTATTTTTAGGATGAGCTTTGTTTACATTTATCGCTGAGTGTAAGGCAATATGGATATTGTGTTTGCAGTGCACTCCTAAGCACGGTACGGAAAGGCGTTTTTATTTCATGAGTTAATTGCGAATTTGCTCTAGTATCCTATTGCTGCTCTGTTGTTAGGAAGAAATGTCACGGACTTGATGTGCTAAACAGAGAGAAGGTGAAGGGGTATGGAAAAGAGAGAGAGAGGGAGAGAGAGAAGGAGGAACTGAGGGAGGAAGGGAAGGAGGGAGAGAGGGAGGGAGGGAGGGAGGAGAGAGAGAGAGAGAAAAAGAGGAAGTGAAAGAGGGATGGTAAGAATGCATGAAGAGAGTGAGAGAGAAAATAAAGAGAGAGAGAGAGAGAGAGGGGAGGGGGGGGGGGGTTAAAAGGAGAAACATAGATAGAAATGGAAAAAAGGGATTGTTATTTATATTATAGCAACTTACAGTTTGATACCTTGTTGGTCTAAATGTATCAATTTACTTTAAGACCTGATTTTAAGACATGTTTCCTTTTTATAATGACAGCACTTATCATACCTTCTAAATAAACTCATACATTAATACATGTATGTTACCCTTTTTATGAATTTAAAAAAGTTTAATATTTAAAAATTTGTACTTCAGATGGATAATGGCTTTTATCTAATTTACACTAAGAGTGTGTGTGCATACGTACTTCACCTTCGTAATAACTGAACGTGATCTCCTACTATTAAGTTTTTTTTCGTTTGTCATGTCCACATACTGTAGTCGACGTCAAAGATGTGACGTCATTTCAGCGCTTTGCGCATGCGTCGGTCATCTGGCGTCGTCGGGCCAAATTTGCGAACGCGTTCATCGATGATTTGAGCTTCGTCAGAAAACTAGTAGTGCCCTATCGTCAAAATGACGTCATCTTGCTACATCGCAGCGTAAATCAGAAAGTAAAAACAGAACACGGGACTACATGTATGAGTACATGTAATATAGATGTTCTCTGTAGGTTTCCTAGTGTGTGAGGAATCATGATCGAAACCTGTTTAGTAGGCTTCCACGTGGTGTTACCAAAAGCCTTCAATCCTGAATGAATGAACACAGAGTCCAACCGCTGTTGTTTATGTTGTGAAAATAACTTGATGTACATGTACATGTAAATTTATTTTGAGAGAAACTAAGAAAGCATCTTAACATAGTCATTAAAAAAATAAATTAGTGAGCTATGATAAGGATAGCCGAAAGAAAGTTAACTTTAATAAAATCCTATTAAACTGATAAGATTGATTTGCTAATGGAAATGCGTGATGACTGTCAACCCAAAGAATACACATTAAACCATAATTCTGGCGAGTAATGACATAGCGAGCTGAGAATCGACCTTTGGTATTCTTGTGTTTGCATTTCATCTCTTTTCTGACGTGTGCATGCAAGCGTCTTGTCTGATGTTTGTTTAATTACGGTCATGTCTGTGTGTGTACTCTTAGCCAGATCTTTTGGACAGCTTGATTTAGTCTTCAATTCCATTCAATTTAATTCATTGATGGTTGACTGGCAGCCTTAGAGACTGAATTGTACATGGTTTTACAGTGCAAGTAACATAAAATATTCAGACAAATTGAAAAAAAAAGTACGTGTAAACTAGAAAAGTAAAAGAGACACAACGTATAACATGAGTTTCAATTACAGGTATAAGTTTGAATAAACATTAGGCCTAAAAAAAAGATGTTGTATTGCCCTTTAGATGCCAGAACATGGGTCCGTGGGTCAGAATTAACCCCCTCCCCTCTTAAAAAAGCGGCTGCGCCCCCAAAACTCAAAACCGGGAAATGTTGCCCAAATCTCGCTGGTTTCTAGCTGGTGCAGTGCATGGTATATACACGTACACAAGGCCGGGTTTACATGTTTAGCTAGCAGGATTTCGAAACTAGGGCAGAAGACGAGTGAGAATTTGAGAATAATTATTTGTTATGATTTTATGCATTTGTAGATCCCATTTTCCAATTTTTTGTTTTTGTTTTTTGTATTCATTTTTTCTCTTGAAAACGGTAAAAAAAAACAACTTTATTTTAAAGCCAACCATAGATTTATTATTGCATTATTGTAATATAGCGTTTGTATGATTAATACCTAATAGGCTATCAATGGAATCAGGTTTTATTGATGTACATGTATAAACATTTTCTTGCAGGCTATGGTTACCTTTGACCCATCGATCCAAATTGATTATTCATGGAGATTCTAGTCCAATGATTTGAAAGCTCAGTACTTAAGGGATTAGTTCAGTATTATAGAGATGGATTCTTGGTGTATCTGTTGAAGAATGCAGTGATAAGATAGAGACATTGAAATGTTTGCTGATAGCATATTTGAGAGAGATAGAAAGAAAAGGAGAAAAGGAGAAATAAATAAACAAAAGAGATGGAGATAGAGAGAGAGAGAGAGAGAGAGAGAGAGAGAGCAAGAGGGGAGGAGGGGGGGGGGGGGTAAATATGTTCAGTCACCTGTTGAGCTGAACAGGGTATGAGATGATGATGTTACTTTTTATTAATGAATACATTACCATGGAATTTAATCGGGGCGAGCACCATTTACTCTTTTATAAGCTGGATCAGATTTGAGTTTATTTTTCGAAGAAGCACCCCTTCTGTGCCATTCTACACACCCACATTATCAAATTATCTTTTCTTAATCCCTTAAATCCCGCTGTTTATTTGTTTCACTCCGTCCCATTGGTCTACTACAGGTCTGAGCGATCCATTCTGTGTTCTGGGCATCGTCGCTCTGTGGAGGGAGAACACTTCGGAAGGTGGAAAGCACAAGATGTCGCACTCCAGGCACGATCTCCTGCTCGACCACGCAAGCAAGGACTCCCTCTGTGTCACGGAGGTCAAGGAGAAGACCCTGTGTCCGACCTGGAGGGAACAGTTCAGATTGTAAGTCATCAGATCAGGCGGGTGTTTCATAAAGACTACGATCGACTTTAAGTTGGACTTAACTATGGCAAGCCGTTCATGTAACCGTTTGCTCTCACCATTTACTGGCATTGGTCTCTCAATAGACGTACAAATCGTGGTCACAAATCTACAGAATTTACATTTTTTGATAATTCATTATTGAAGGAAATTTTTTAATTTAAAGATTGTGAGAGCAAACATTGGCATGAACGGCCTGCCATAGTTAAGTCCAACTTAAAGTCGATCTTAGTCTTTGTGAAACACCCCCCTGGAGTCATTTTTTAGCCATGATCTCACTCATTACTTGAAGCATAGAATTTTGATAGAAAGCCATCTTCAGGTGTGCTCTACATACACAAGATGTTTCATATGCTTCTCATACATGTTCATGTAGCTTTTGGCCCTTCATCATCATGGATGTTCTCTTCCAGGGCTGCTAGTTTTCAGGCTTGTACAGATCATATAGAACACCAGCCTGTATATGTCACTTTTCCAGTACGTTAAATAAAAACAACTCATTCCCTTTTTGTTGACGAGTTGGATAATATCAATTGTTTTTTGTTCTTCTTGTCATATAAAATATAAAGTAGCATTTTATCTATTCCAGGCACTTTATACAGTCATGTACCATATTCTTATCTTTGTATGAATCTTTCTCTGCAGTGATGTTGGTGATGTCAACAATGAACAGCTGCAGGTTGAAGTGTGGTAAGTTCTACTCATTCTTTCTCTCTTCCCCCCCCCCCCTCTTCATCTTTCTTCTCACTCCCCTTCTAGCTGTGTCTCTCTGCCTGTCCGTTTGTATGGATGTATATGTATGACAATTTAAGTCTTTATTTGTGATGTGCATGTAGATATTTGTAGATAATAGCCATGATGAAGTGATACATCAAATTTAGTCGGCCCTCCTTCCCTTTCAATTTCATGTTTCTTTAAAGTTTTATGTATTGTATTGTTCAAATTGATCTATACATGTATGTATATAAATATGTGAATATGATAAAATGTACCATCATTGTAAATATGAATGATTGAAAGAGGAAAAATAAATGAATTGAATTGAATTGAATTGAATTGAAAGAATAATACTGTTGTGCCATCTAAAATTAAAACACGTACATATTATTTCTTCCTTCCAAAGCGCTCAAAAAAAGAATAAATAAACCTGTGGTTATCCTCAATTTACCAGTTATCGATGTTTACGATGCTTAATCTTATTTCTTGACATCATTAGTAACTTTTGAAATCTTTCATTTTTGTTCCTATTTATGTTTAATACAGGGATCATGATGAGGACTCTTCAGTAGGGCAACTTATAAAGAAGAATGCAGGAGATGTTTCCAATCTGAAGGGTATGGGAAGGTATGTAAACATAATAGCTTTTATTAATAGATTTGGTTCCTAAAAAGAGAAATTAAGGAGAATGCTGTACACTGTACATAAAATGGCTTGTTCAGATAGTTTGCAGCCAGTTTATATTTTTATTATTGTTATTATTATATGGAGATGCATGTAGGAATGAAAGCAATCTATACTGTCCACTCCGTGTTTGATTGCATGAATCTTTTTATTCCTTCTGAAGATTAACATTTGTAGTATAGACAGCAAATATGATTCAAATTACACATGATGAGAAGCATCAATATGTACTCAGAGATGATTAGAATCATACAAATGGAAAAACCCAATCTCTATGTGGGTTGGTCTAGCAATAATGTCAGCTCTGTCTTTGCCTACAAAGTCAGTGGACCCCGGCTGAGACAATCATATCTGATTGATATTTTTTGTCTGTAAAATCCCAAATTACAGACACACACACACACACATGTATGATATGGAGTGAAAACTACCCGTTCTTCCTGGTAGGCATTACCTTGACCACATAGGCATTACATTATTTGTATACTAATGTCTTGTTTTCCTGTGCTTGGTAGATTCTTTAAGGAGATAGCTCAATCAGCCAAGAAGGATGGAAAGAATCTGGATGACTTCCTAGGATGGGTCACCATACCACTCAATGTAAGTAAACGTTGTGTGGAGCATCTGACCATTAGGTTCTATATTGAAGGGTCAGTGACACAAAGACGTAACTCCATTTTGGCCATTTTTAGAAAAAGTGGTTTATGTGTCACTGAGCACTTGGGCCATAAGGAGTTAATTCTATGGTTGCGTTTATCGTGTTTTGCCACTAGATATGTACATATCGAACCCCACTATCGAACCCCACTATAGAACCCCACTATACGAGAGTGATTTGCGGGATGTCGCATTTATCGTCTCTTCACGATTCAAAATAAAGGCCTTGTGTCTGCGCAGCTGTTTTGCGCCGTTTGACCCGGGAAGCAGACAGTTTCTCGGAGGTCAACTACACACACATGCTTGTACGCAACACATGGAGCGCGCTAGCCTCCGAACCAGAAATTAATCTGGGAAGGTCCGATTTGTATGTGGGGTTCAAAACAGCTTTGCATTTATCATCTCTCAGAAATGTGATTCTGGCTGTATGTCACATTCAAAACACACCTTTTTGTGTCTTAGACGTTTAAAAAAGGCTTTGCGTTTATCACCTTCAAAATTTGCCTGAAAGACGTTTGAGAAACCTGATTCTAGGCAAAAATTTGGTCAATAAAGGCACCCATAGTTTCACTAGCCATTGACTTCAATGGGGTGTTGGGTGGAGTTCATTTTTTTGTGTTTCCTGAAAAGCCCACATTTTTCTGAACATTTTGATATCAAATACTCATTTTGGAAAAATATAGGGTTACATCTAGGGTGTCACTGAACCCTCGATATGTAGTAAAAGAAGTACAAGCTGTAATGATATTGTTGACACCAGCAGGACATATCTGGGCCAATCCTAATGGATTATGAGGCGACAGAATTGAGTTCAGATGGAGTAGAAAGCTTGTTACCGGATTGTAGGAGCCATAGTTGTAATTGAAACTTGTTAAGGTTAAGAAAGGTTGTTAAACTTTATTTAATACCAAACAAACTAAGAGTCAACTTTCAAGAGAGGATGATTTTGAAGATGATACTAAATAAGAGACTGTTGTCAAAGACTAGCATATCTTTTTCTTTACAGTACTGTATGTTTAATGTTGGGCAATCATGTCGGACTTCAGGGAAACAAATATGAAGAACAAAATTAGTTTTCTGATGCAACAGGCTTTTTTTTAGCATTTAGCTACATGTATGTGGTTGTGTGTAGTGTAAGTATCATTGTTGCATACAGTACATCCATGCAGTTATCATTTTGCTAGGTTAATTTTTTGATTACTTCATGTCATAAAGGTGTTCTCTCCCGATAGAATGAAGCTTTTTCTCTTCTGTTTGCTTCCCTCTACAGACCATATCAAGTCAAGGTTTAGAATGTTCTTTTCCTCTGCAAAGCCGGGGAAAGAGTAAGGTGGAAGGAGAGCTCAAACTGAAATTACAACTAGCACTCAAGGTACAGTGTATGTCGTAAAAATGGATCACAAAATATGTCATTTCTATTCATACTGAGCCTATCATGTGGTTTTTATACTTGATTAGAATCACTGGTACAAAATGATAAACCCATTCATTAACCATCATTTTGAATTAGCATGTTTTTTTTTTATTGTTAAGGTAAAACCTACTGCTATGTGTCAGTTTTATGAAATTCTCTACCAGTAGTTTAGCAGTCGTGTTGGTGGATGTCACTTCAGCATGTTATTTGTATCGTCCATCTATAACTTATTACAACACTAGCCTCTTTTTCTTTTAATTTTGATATTTATTGACAATTTGCATGTCCCTTGTACACAGTGGCATATCTAGAGATTAAGGCGCCCAGGGCAAACAATCCAATTTTACCCCCCCCCCCCTCCCCTCCTCCCGGCCAAACTTATCTTCAAAACTTTACAAGCATGAGAGAAAAGTTCCTGAGCAACAGGAGTTTGCCTTTTTTAATCCCTAAAACACATGTCATTGATTTTTTGTGTTTTAGACCATCAAACAAAAACAAATTCTTATGCAATTCATTCTCTGCCCCCCCCCATTGGATAAGCCACTGATTTTACATGTATCTCCACCTTTATCAATCACCTTTCTTACATGTGTGCAATACTTTGATGTGAAATAAAGAAGTTTTGGATAACAAGCAAAATTGTAAACTTCATGTCCCAATTTCTGTTCTATATTAGCATTTTAGATTAGGAAACTCACTCTTGCATGAATATACTCTTTCGTTTGTTTTCAACCTTTTTATGCCTCCATTACGAAGTAGCTGAAGGCATTATGTTTTTGTGTTGTCCGTCCGTCCAGTCGTCCGTACGTACGTCCCTTTCTCGTGATCGCGTTTTCTCAAGAACCGACTGATGGATTCCTGCCAAACTTTGGTCATGTATGTAACTTGCAGAGCCAATGAATTGATTATGTTTTGGGGTCACGAGATCAAAGGTCAAAGGTCACAGGGCTCATTATGTATGCAAAAATAGCTTGTAATCGCGTTATCTCAAGAACTGATTGATGGATCCCTGCCCTACTTAGGTCATGTATGTAATTTGCAGAGCCAATGAATTGATTAGATTTTGGGGTCATGAGGTCAAAGATCAAAGAGAACCTGTTAATGGATTACAATTGAACTTGAATTTGAAAAATTGCTTCTGTTTTGGTTTGTAAAATTGCTCTATGACAGAGGCATCATTTTCGACTGCACGCAGTCGAAGTTGCATCTAGTTATTTCTGTTTTCATCAATTCATTCTTGAGTTCATGTCTATGGTATCTTTCCTTTATTCTTCTTCTATTTTTGCAATGCTTCTGCTTAGAATGAAGAAGTTCTTGATAATAAGCAAGAACCCAAAACTTCATTCGATCCTAAGAACAGCAAAGAAAGCCGGAAAAAAGTCAAGAAGAAAGAATCTGATAAATTTTCTCAGTTTAAGAAGAGCAAGGTCTATGTAAGTTGAGAGTGTTTGAAAGAATTTTGGTGGAATGTTCTGTTTTTGTTCACAAGATTTGAATAACACCTTTTCTGTTTACCATATATTTTACTTTAGTTTTCATAGTGGTTCTCAGTAGATTAGCTTTTATTTGGTGGTAGTTTGAATGTCTTCTTATGCTCCTTGGGTGCCATTTTAATGAGATCAGTTCACATTTACATCACTGTATGTTTCTTCTCCAAAAGCTCCCATTAATCTGAATACAGTTGATTATTAGCTGTTGATATGTTGGCCAAGCCTCTGACAATCTTTTGAGACATCACTAGTAAATTTTGGTTTTTAGAGCCATGCAAGAAATATGAATACGTATGTGAACTGATCTATTACAAATCAATGGATATTGATTGTGATGTGATGATTGTCTTGAGCATACAAGTCATGCAAGTTCATGTGCATGTGCATGTATGGTTGTTCACATCAGTTGCAACTCTTTTTAGATGGGGCACTCTTCTATTTCAATAGCCACTTGTGCTTCACTTGTGCAAAGTGAGTTTTATTTGTGTTTGTGTTTTCAACAATAAGTGTGTTTTTCTTTCAGTTTCCATGTGCAGATGTGTAGAATGTGTTAATTTCAGAAATGCATGAAGCATTTGTTGTAGACTAGACATTGTGTAGTGAAATCGAAATACTGGTAGTTGCAAATCTGTAGGACAATGTTAGAGCTGGCATTCCTGTCTTGTACACGTACTCTGTTTTTGTATGATTTATAAAAGTGGATTTTACTACCATCACATTCTGAGTTGAAGTTTGAACTTTCCAGTCTTTAATCACTCTGCTAAAACAATCTGTTACATTTTTTCCACCACATTCTTTGCCAGCTTTGTTATTGATTGTCCATTTCTTTGTAGCTTTAATATATTGGATTTTTATTTTCTTTGATTGGATTTAGTCACTTTTTATTGCTGTTAAGCGTGTAAGTTCATCAGCTTTCTTTACTTGTCCTCATGATCATAGTGCATTTTACTTTTATGTCCTTGCTTTGATTACTAGTATTTGAAGTTAGACTTTGTGGGTTGTAAGTGTGACTTTGATGGTTTCACGTATTTGGAAATCAGAGATGAAAAACGGTTCTTTTAGGTTGAAGTGATTTACATTAATTTGGCTATGGTAGTCTGATTAACATGTTTTAGTTAGTGAGGGGGATATAGCTAATGAAATGCTTGTCAAAGTTGTTGAGAAAAGAACAAGTCCAACAAGGGATGTGTTGAGGAAGAAAAGACTTGGTCATATGATGGACAGGATAAAGATGCTTCTGGTAATGCACTAAAGATGTAGAGGAATGGAGGTTGCGGAGACCGATAAGCTAAAGATGGTGGGAAAAGAACTATTTATTCTCTTTTTTTCAAATTAAATAAATTACGGTATTTAAATTTCGCAGTTTGCAACATGTTTTGTTTTGTTTTTGATAATTGCGATACTATCTATACAAAAAATTGGGGAATTAACAGTATTTTAAACAAGAAAATCTGTAGAAAGGACAGTCATATATTTTGTCTATGGGTGAGAGGGCTAACACCCGCTGGAGGAGGAATAAAACGACACCACCAAAACGACTTAAGACCAACTCCAAACCTACATATTTTTGGCAAAAAGAATAGATGTAATGTATTATTTCTATTCAGTCTATTGTCAGTCTTGGAAGTGTTTCACAAAGACAGATCAACTTTAAGTTTGACTTAACAATGGCAGGCTGTTCATGCCACTGTTTGCTCTCACCAGTCTGATCTTTAGATAATATTTTTTCCTTCAATAATGAATTATCAAAAAATGTAAATTCTGTAGATTTGTGACCATGATTTGCACGTCCCTTGAGAGACCAATGACGGTAAATAGTGAGAACCATCAGTGGCATGAACAGCCTGCCATAGTTAAGTCCAACTTAAAGTCAATCTTAATCTTTTTGAAACACCCCACTGGTGTTGGTCCCGTCGGTGTGACTGGGCCTGTACGAGTGTTAAACGATTGCTTCACTTGTTCGTTTACAGAAGGATGCGCCCAAGGCAAGCACGGAGGCCATGGGGGCTACCCACCAGTACCTCTGGTATAACTTCACCCATCATGAGGTGTGTGATAACGCCATGACAGAGTACAGATGGAGCGGTCAGCTTCCTCCAGCACCCAGGGCAGTCCTGCATCAACTCGCTCAACAACAACAGCTACCAGAAATCTACCAACTTGCCAGGTTATTCATCATTCTTCAACTTGTTCTTCTCCTTCAAATGTACATGTATTAATAGTGATAAAATCAGAGGGTTCGCATTTTCTGTAAATCTGCCTAAAGAATATGATGCCTGAGAAAGAACATCAACTAAACTTGAGTTTGTATTACCGGTAGTTTGTGTGTTGAAAACAAATTCTGTAAAAAGAAAGAATTTGTTTTAATTGTGTGTAATTATACAAAGAAAAAAATGCTGAGAAATATGGACACATCATTTTATCATGATAGTGAATAGCATTCAGTCTACAGTGCATCTGACCTATGGTACATGTTTTTTTTTATGGTCATGTGTTGCTCTTTTTCTTGAAACAGCCAGTGGATAGCATACAGCCAGCAGTGTACTGTTGCCTACTTGCACAGTAGACAAGTGCATGTATTATACTCTTGTTTTTGAGTTTTCAATACCCCTATTCAATAATGCTATGTTACTCATTCTCTCAATACAGCCAGTGGATAGCATACAGTCAGCAGTGTGTGTTGCCTCGTCTAGACCTCAATGTTATGCTATCCATCATCACAGGTATAACTAACCTCTGGGATAAGGGCCCCCCAGATGAACAAATGGTAAGCAGAATTAACCCTCTATTTGCTTTCGTCGCTCAATTGAACACAGTAGAATGTCATAGTAAACTTTTGTCACACATACAGTGTGTACATATATGTACAATATACTCCAATGCAATGCTGTAGAGGTGTCTCGGATACATGTATGTCACCAGACTGTAGATCACATCCTGCTGCTGCACTAATGTCCTTTGGCAGGATATTAATCTTCATTTGCCACTCTCTACCCAGGTGAAGTAAATGGGTACCTGGTAGGAAGAAATTCCTTGTATGCTTTAAAGGCAGACTTTACTACTTCAGCCAGAAGGGATTAGATTACCCAGCGAGCCAGCGAGGTCACTGTGACAGGTGGCTATCTCATTAACTCAGCTCTCATTTAACATAAGAAAAAGAGGATCGTGGGGGACCAACAGCACCGATTGGGGAAGTTTTCTATATAGAGGGAGCAAGTAGATACAAGTAGGACAGTGTGCCGCTTTGTAACGCTTTATTATGGCGGCTCAGCTACAGCCGTGGTAATGATATGATACTTTGTATTAAGTGCAGTAGAGTATAGTAGCTGCACTATATACACTTATTCTTATATATTACATTACTAATTAAAATCACAAGACCAAATTCTACTTAAGTGTTATAAGTAGCAAATACTGTTCATGCATTTTCTACCAACTTATGTTTCTTTTATCTGTCCAGGTGACATATCTTCACAAGTCTTGCAGTGAGTTTGTAGAACATTCTATGAGGATGTTACAGAAGCAACATGAAGCTTTCCCATTCAGAGACACCCAGGCCGTCCTACAACTTCATCTTCTCCTCAGGTAATCTTTCAGTCTATGAATCGTCTGTGATGCTTCAACATGATGATGGTTGTGGTGGTGGTGATGATGATGATGATGGTGGTGGTGGTGGTGGTGGTGGTGGTGGTGGTGGTGGTGGTGGTGGTGATGATGATGATGATGATGATGATGATGATGATGTTGATTATGATGGTGGTGGTGGTGGTGGTTGTGATGGTGGTTGTGGTGATGATGATGATGATGATGGTGGTGGTAGTGATTTTGCAGTTAATTATGAATCTTGTTGTGCACTTTGTATCTCATTTGCATAGATGCATTGTAATTATCAAACAGATAAGAGAGAACCTATTCTGATTTACTAATTGATGACTCATTTGAGAACAGCAGTGCTAAGGATTTTGGTCTTGCATTAATCGGAGTATAAAACTGCAAGAATTGCAAGAATGAACAGAAAGCTGAAATCTGACAATATATACAGAACTGTCTACTTACTGTTCATTCTTGTGATATACTTTGATGATTGCATGACAAAAAACTTTAGTAGGTCTTTTTACTACTATTCTCTGATTGTGTAGTACCAATCATCTCTTGATGACTAATTGCCCATTTGGACTATCTGTATAGCAACATTCCGTTTTCACCTCTGTCAATTCACTATGACTTTTCTTACATCACCATTTACATAGATGCATGGTTCTGATCAAGCAGCTAAGTGAGAAGCTGTCCTGGGGTATTTTTAAGGAGAATGTGAAAGACCTCATCACAGATGCTATTAAGGTGAGTTCCTTCTCATCCACATTATCGTCACTATAATACTACAACTTTAATCATGATGTTACGATTATTGTGGTAACAATGAACTTATTATCATCACAATCATCTTAGTTAAAATCATCACTACTCCCCTTATCGTATATACCACCACCATTACCACCCCCACCACACCCACCATGGCTATTACCGTCACCCTCACCATCACCATCACCATTACCCTCACCATCACCATCACCCTCACCATCACCCTCACCACCACCCACACCCTCACCATCACCCTCACCCTCACCATCGTCCTCACCATCACCCTCACCATCACCCTCACCACCACCCACACCATCACCATCACCCTCACCATCACCCTCACCATCACCCACACCCTCACCATCACCCTCACCCTCACCATCGTCCTCACCCACACCCTCACCATCACCCACACCCTCACCATCACCCTCACCCTCACCATCGTCCTCACCCACACCATCACCATCACCCTCACCATCGTCCTCACCCTCACCATCACCCACACCCTCACCCTCCCTCTAACCCTCACCATCACCCACACCCTCACCATCACCCTCACCCTCACCATCGTCCTCACCCACACCCTCACCATCACCCACACCCTCACCATCACCCTCACCCTCACCATCGTCCTCACCCACACCATCACCATCACCCTCACCATCGTCCTCACCCTCACCATCACCCACACCCTCACCCTCCCTCTAACCCTCTCCCTCCCTCTAACCCTCACCCTCCCTCTAATTCTTACCCTCACCCTCCCCCTCCCCCTCACCATCACCCTCACCCTCACCCTCCCTCTAACCTCTCCCTCCCTCTAACCCTCACCCTTACCCTCACCCTCACCAATACCCTCACCCTCCCTCCAACCCTCACCATCACCCTCACCCTCACCCTCCCTCTAACCCTCTCCCTCCCTCTAATCCTCACCCTTACCCTCACCCTCACCAATACCCTCACCCTCCCTCCAACCCTCACCATCACCCTCACCCTCCCTCTAACCCTCTCCCTCCCTCTAATCCTCACCCTTACCCTCACCCTCACCAATACCCTCACCCTCACCAATACCCTCACCCTCCCTCCAACCCTCACCATCACCCTCACCCTTACCCTCCCTCTAACCCTCTCCCTCCCTCTAATCCTCACCCTTACCCTCACCCTCACCAATACCCTCACCCTCCCTCCAACCCTCACCATCACCCTCACCCTCCCTCTAACCCTCTCCCTCCCTCTAACCCTCACCCTCCCTCTAATTCTTACCCTCACCCTCCCTCTAACCCTCACCCTCCCCCTCCCCCTCACCATCACCCTCACCCTCTCCCTCCCTCTAACCCTTACCCTCACCAATACCCTCACCCTCCCCCTCACCATCACCCTCACCCTCACCCTCCCTCTAACCTCTCCCTCCCTCTAACCCTCACCCTCCCCCTCCCCCTCACCATCACCATCACCCTCACCCTCCTCTAACCCTCTCCCTCCCTCTAACTCTTACCCTCACCAGTACCCTCACCCTTACCCTCACCCTCACCCTCACCCTTACCCTCACCCTCACCCTCACCCTCACCCTCACCATTACCCTCACCCTCACCCTCACCCTTACCCTCACCCTCACCCTCACCCTCACCCTCACCATTACCCCCATTATCATCAGAATCATCACTATCAATACCATCATCATCACCCTCACCATTATCGTCACCATTATCATGACCATCACATTGTCACCACCACACTCTCGCCCTCACTATCATGATCACCATTCTCATGACCTTCATTACCATGATGATGATGATCATCACATTATCATCACTGTCATCATTATCATCACCACCATTGTCATTATCATTAATTTTGGGCAATTCCACGGTAACGGAAGGACACTCAGACAAGATTTTTGAACTTCAGGTTCATACTAAAAGAACTGTTTTATTAGTATAAGATGTGAAACAGTACAGATATAATACCTATATAAGTGCCTTTAATTCTCCCCCAAAAAATTGTCATTATAGTTAAGTAGTTTAAGAATGTGCATATTAATTATCTCGGTAACGGAAGGACATAAAAATGGACATGGTTTTTCCAGTTAATTAGTGTTTATCCAAACTTTGTGAAGTTGATGAAGCTTTCCACTTGACTGAAACACATTTTGTTCCCCATAGTTTAATACATACTAATAAAACATTTCTTTTAGTATGAACCTGAAGTTCAAAAATCTTGTCTGAGTGTCCTTCCGTTACCGTGGAATTGCCCTCTTGTACATTTTGTTATTGTCTGTCTTTCTAGACAAGCACCAAAGATTGGTGTGAGAAGCAAATCCTGCTATGCGAGGAGGTCCATGAAGCCAAGAAGAACATCCTCTTCCAAGACGATGAAGACTTTGAAGGCGATGACGGAGAGGAGACAGAGGAATCCAAGAAAGTAGCCATCCTAGTCAATCTCATTGAGAATATGATCAACCATGTTAAAGTCCAGATCAGACAGCCATCTATCATTTATAAGAAGGCCTTCGATATTGATTTCACCATGCTTATACATACAGAACTAGCTGACAAGGTAAATATTTTTCCCTTCAAAAAATTAATTTCAGATTGCATTCTATTCTTCTAAAAATCTACAATGCTACTACATTTAGGTAATGATATTGTGAAATTCAAAAACAAACAGAAGCGGCCAATATCTAATAATTGTTTTGATTTAATTTTGTTTCCATTTCACCTACTCCAAGCACATCAGTTTGCTTTAACATACATGTCCTACCTCATTAAGCTTTCCCTCATTGATGAAAAAAATTAACACCGTAGCCTTCTCTTCAACTTTCATCTTGATTAATACATTGAATTGAATTGAACTGATTTCTCTTAGCCCCATAGGCTAAAAGTGACACGGTAACATTGTTAAAGGTTGATGAAAAAATGCATAATTTTTGCATGAAATGTAACTTATTATATTCCTTCTACTGTACTAACCCTCTAACATGCAACAAATCCTATAAAAATTCTCAAACCACAAAGATATTTATGGTTTTCTTTGAAGGCGTCACTATGCAACACCCTCCTTACAGTAAATTCTCCAAACTATTTTTGAATTTTCCCAACCGTTTTTCCATGGAAATAAGACATAACACTTAAATGTCTGGAATGGTTTTATCGAGCCAATTCATTGCTTTGTAACTATTTAAATTAACCTAAAATGTAATTAAATTGTAATAATATAGTTGGAAGAATTGAAGCATTGAAGCCACTACCTTAGTATCATTTTCTCTCATCTGAAGTTCTGAACAATGTTACCAAGTCCTTTTAAGCTTGCCAGGTTTTCTTCTTTGTTAGGCGATACAAGTTGTGTATTTGTGTTTATATCTTCTGACAATTCCTCACATCCCCTTTAAAATAGATCATGGCTGAGATCAAAGATGTTGTATCCCGTGTGGGGAAGCTTTCCCGGAATGACAGCCACCAGACGGCCATTGCTCTGTTCTCACTCTTCCTGGCTGTCAGGGGCTTCCATACAGCGGCAGATAGATCGTAAGTCTTGTCTACTTGAATCATCTGATATGCCCCTTAAGCCAAATACATGTTCAATACAATCCGTACCTGTGCTTTTTCAAACAGAACAAAACATACTTGTAAAAAAGGAAATAAATAAATAAAAAATGACCCATGCATGATTTTCTTGTTATATACAAACAGAAAGTTAAGGAGGACCTGTTTCTCAAGATCCATAATAATAATGATAATAGCTAGTTTTTATATAGTGGTTTTCATGACCAGAAGGCCCTTTCAAAGCGCTTTACAAATATATATTATTACCTCGGTCATCGGATTCAAGCTTATCCGCACACAATGTATGCACATTCTCCACTCCCCGGGGAGCATTCCAGCCAGGCGTCATTTTACAAGTAGATTACAATGTAGATAGATAGAAATATAGATAGGTAGACAGACAGACAGATAGATAGATAGACAGACGGATAGAAAGATAGATAGATAGATAGATAGATAGATAGGTTGAAAGATAGATTGGTAGATAGTCTGAGCAATGCAATTTAATTAGTGGTTTCCATTTTGTATTATAGCAAGGGTATTTGTGAAGTTATTTACCCCCCCCCCATAGAGTACAATGTTCCTGATGCACATATTGATAAGAGTGTTTATATGAATTTATCTTACTGCCTTCATGCTGTTTCTGAAGGGGTAGTGATTGTATGCTTGGGAGGGCGTGGGGTGCATTTGTGTATTGAAGCATTTATAGCCAAGCAAATTGTACAAAAGGGTTCTTTTTTAGATATTAAACACTTCTGACATAAATGATTTAAAACTTGACAAAATTGTACAGACCAATATCAGACTCTTCCATTAGAGAGAATTCAAAGTAATGATGTGGGTCTATGCAATAAATAACCTCCGAACCCCATTCAGATTTGTATGTGTGTATGCTTTTTGTGTATGTGCATATATTTTGTATGTATACATGTATCTCAAAATATATGACTCTGTATAGCATTAATACACTGTAGCACAAGAAGTACTTTTGTTCAACTAAATACTAATGAAAACCTTCACAATGATGATCACACCTCACCTTGCCTCTTACAGGTATCGTTCAGACTTGGAGACCAAGAACTATCACATGGTTTTCAAGAAGTCTGTAGAGCAGTGGTTTGAGCTCGCGAGGAGCAAGGCCAGAGCACGCATACAGAAGGCTGTGGAAGTTGATGAGGTGGGTTACAAGCTCTTGACATACTGGTACTTAAATTATGAATAAGAACAGGGTAATATCAAGTACACAGAAAGTTGTGCAAGTGGATAAGATAGGTTTCAGAAACTATGATATATTAACATACCGGTAGGCACACTACGAATAAGAACAGGGTAATATCGAGTACACAGAAAGTTGTGCAAGTGGATAAGATAGGTTTCAGAAACTATGATATATTAACATACCGGTAGGCACACTACGAATAAGAACAGGGTAATATCGAGTACACAGAAAGTTGTGCAAGTGGATAGGATAGGTTTCACAAACTTATTATTGTTCAAAAGTCTGTGGAGCAGTGGTCAATGAAGACAAGTGGTTTTCCTGAAGAGGTGACCCTTCCTTTTAGAATGACGTAAGATTGTGTTAATTTTATCCTGAAAATTGCTGAAACTCTTTAAAGCCCCACTGTACTACTTGTAGCTACTTGCTCCCTCTATATAGAAAACAATGCCAAAGCGGTGCCTGTTGGTCCCCATGAACCTCTTTTTCTTATGTTCATTGAGAGCTAAGTTGATGAGATAGCCACCTGTCAGTGACCTTGCTGCTGGGTGGTCTAATCCCTCCTGGCCAAACTAGTACAGACAGGCTTAATAGTTTCTACCTAGTGAGATATTACTACATGATAGTACCTTCTGAGCTGACAATTAATTTACCTCTCAAATGTACCAGTATTTGTTTTAGCACTTTCTCATTTTTACGAAAAATATTTCTTTGCGTCACACATTATCCTCTTTTGTTTCTGGATGACAGGTGAGGCTTGTAGACTCTATGGTGAAGCACAGTTCATCCGCAGTTGATGCCACAACTACTTTTGTTCAGGTAATGCTATGTTTCTGATTTTTTTTCATTTGATGGATTTCGGTATACAGGACTTGCTGTCATGAAGGTGATCTGGCAATTTCTTGGTTTTTTATTTTATCAACGAGAGAGGGATAAGGCCTTGAGTTGAAATTGTGTTTTAGGTTTGTTATAGGGTTTCATGAATTTTATAAATAAAAATTTGCCACAAAGCTGACACTGCCGAACGCACGTCGGCTATAAATGTACATGTATGTAGTACACTTTTGTCCATGTATCAACCATGACAACATGCCTCTGTTTGTTTTCTTTGTCCTATGTAGATCAAGGAATTCTGGACCAAGCTGAACTGGCCAGATAAAAATGGAGCATACGTTTTTGTTGCCAAGGTTACAGATGTAAGCATTGACTTTGGATAAACGTTTATCTTTGGGGCTTTAAAACCGCAGTTAATCTTGATCGCTCTTTGTACGAAATTTTAAACATGTTTGTTTACTTTAATAGCCATGAGTGCTGACCTTTAAAAACAGTATGAATGATTATACTGTTCATGTTAAATACTTTTACCAGATTTGTAATACTGTGAGTGGATATACTGATAAAAATGACACTTTGAGCTGTCATTTATATCTGCCAGAACAATATGCAGCCTTATTTCCATATGTACTCATTTGTTAATATTAACCCATTCAGGACATGAATTTATTTAGAGGCCTAAATTGATCACATGCTGTTCATCAAATTAGCAACAATAATATTTTTTTATTGGAACATTGTTAAAAAAAAAATTAATATCTCAGAAAAAGCCAAGTTTGATTTAAAAGCAATTATTTTGACCCCTCCAATGTGTTGCCAATTTAAGGGTGGTAAGGATTATTTTCCTTTTGAAAACTCCTGGCATCAAATGCAATATTGTCATGCAACAAAAATGGACGCAAGGTGGACAGAAACTTTTTCCTTTTCTATTCATTTATTCGGTATAATTGTTAATGCTGTAAATCAAAAAGTTATTAAGCCAAACCACGGTGGAATGATTGTCAAGAGCCTCTCTAACGCTGAACACATGGTAAGCCTATTATGCCTTTATCATTCTATTGACAGGATATTCGTCAGGGAGCTGTAGATTATGCAAACATCATCCACAGAAAGCTGAATGAGAACAAGTTCTATGATGATGAGGGTCGCTTTGACGTTACAGATCAGGTAAATGACCTTTGATATTCAATTCAATTCAATTTGCTTTATTCAAATCATTTCATTTTATTCAATTCAATTCCATCTTTGTATAAAAACATTTGTGCAACACATTGAATAAATTTGAAATGACGCTTGAATATATTACATATAAATGGTGACAGAACTATTTGGTTAACCTTCTGTCTCCAAACAGATATCAGTCAAACCGCAGGTCACCCTAAAGTGCTCAATTTCATTTTCAATCCTGCTTGACTGGTTCAGTTTATGAATACAAAATGATTGGGAACATCAATTTTCCAAATCAGTGAATGGACTGCCGGTAGTTAACATTGGCTGATTTTCATGATTTACATCAAACAAATGAGGAGGAATCTCAGATTCATGACATACTTTTTTGTCTTGGAAAAATATGATGAAGTTGGTGAAAAACGATATTGTATTATGACAACAGTTTTAAAATGAAAAAAAATATACAAGAGGAAAATTTTATATATATTTTTATTTTTGAGCCAGGATGAATTTTGACATGAGTGTATTAAAAGGGTGATATGTCTAGTTTCCAACAGTTTTTAACATTATCAAGGACCCACTATCTGGAACAAACTACCCCCAAAACTTAAACATTGTGCATCTTTAAACAATTTTAAGCATAATCTAAAACTTCACCTGATGCAGAAAATTTGATTTTGACAAATGCAATATTTTATGTTTGTAATTACCATATTGTATTATTGTATTTTCTTTGTCCCTTTTTTGTTTTTTGTGTGTTCATTTTTAGGAACAAGTTTTTGTAACTTTTTTGATGATCCAACCACTTCGTAATTTCCTTTAGTGTGTTTTCCATATTATTGGTTTATCTATGTTTGCAAGAGATATTTTGTTGTATTCTTTACCTTTGTATGTTTTATGAAAGTGGTGAATCAATTCAATTCATTCAAATTCATTATCACCACTTCTCGACCAGCTCTGCATAGCAGTCAACAACATTGAGCAGGTAAGACGCTACCTCTCCAGCCTCCCCGTCCAGCTCGACTTTGAGCGCGTGCTTGACGGTCTCCTCATCGAGCACGGTTCAGTGGGGTCAGAGCAGTGCGGACTGACCCTCCATACCATGCTGGCCAGTGCGGACGAGGACATGCTGAATGTGATCGGTAAGGTGGTCAGACACGTCGGCCAGAAGATGGAGCCTGACTTCAGGAAGTACACAGCACCGCTCATGTCGGCTCCACCCGAGTCCAACCTTGATGATGTGAGTTCTAGAAAATATTGATTGGTCCCAAATTTTGAACCATTGGTTTATAAAGAATTGCAACTTTTAGTTGAACACACTCGGTCACCTTTCATCTTCAAAATTTGTGTGCATAACATCTGCCCAACTATCCCAATGATGTTATAATTTTCCACAGATATTTATCTCTGGTATATTCAATAGTAAGTTTTGACATGTTTCTTGTTCTGATACATGTCTGAAAGCTAACTGTGGCATACACATATCTGAACAATCCTTGAATTGTTTTAACAAGATCATTTATGATGATGACATTTTTTGTTTGTTTTTGGTTTTATCCTTTAGGTGATAACACCTTTAATGGAGTATCTTGATAGCAATCTTATCACGCTACACAGCTGTCTATTGAAAGCTAACTTCCAAAGGTAAAAAAACAAGTTAATTACTAAATAGTGTTTTAAGTGATGCTACTGATAGGAGGTGTCGTTCTATAGTTGTTCATTCAATTGACTCTCAATCCAAGGGTGAGAGTTTTAATCCCAGCCCAGCTTTACTGTTCTTTGGCAAGACATTAATCCTCATTTGCCACTCTCTACCCAGGTCTAAAATGGGTACCTGCTAGGATGCAAAAGTCATTGTAGTTTGTTCAGCATTATAAGCGTCTGTAAAATGGTGCCTGGCTGGAATGGTCCCTAGGGAGAGGAGATTGTGCGTACATTGTGTGCATCTGATCATCTATGTAGTAAGCGCTTTATAAACCCACAATATATTATTATGATATTTACTAAGATTTTGAATACATCTCAAATGCTTTTAAGATGTTATATAATGGTAGGAAGAACTATTATCTGTCATGTAGTGTGTTTTAATCTACATGCAACTGTGTGATAAGAATATAGATTACGATTTTCTTTAGATAAATATAAAAATCTTATGCCTTGAATTTTTTTTTCATAAAGGGCATTAAAGAAAAAAAGTCATGATTTTGGATGATGAACCAGTACCCATTGCACTAAATGTGTGTAACATACAGTAATACTTTTTTTTCCATTTTTTTCTTAGAATTCTGGAAGAGCTGTGGCTTGTTGTCTTGAATATCCTGAAAGAGATGGTCAACAGTGGCTACAAGGTGAAGAAATATTCCTTGTTTCCTGTATAGAATATGTACACGTCTTTAAATCTTGTCTGATACCAAGACCCTGTTATATCTTAAAATGCTAGCTCCGATGGTAATTCATAGTCAAAATTTTATATGTGTACATGTAGATCTATAAAATATATGGAAGTATTGCAAATAAAAGGTAAATGTTTTTACATATGTACATGTACATTTATAAATAATGTAGGTATCAACAAAAATTAAGTTTTAAAAGCTTCCATTATTCTACCTTTTATCCTTCTCACTATTCAGCCTTTCCTTTCATTACCATTGAGTTTGATTTGTTATGCATTTTCTTTTGTACGTGCACATGTACATGTACATAGTTGCATTCAATAACAGCGGTTCATATCTGCGATAGTGACTATGGTTGTTGTTAGATTAGAATTAGCAAGTTATGACAAGACTTTTACTCTATTTACAGGACAGTTTACCTTTTGCTCAGATAGAATAAACAATTCTGTGTCATTGTTACTGTGAAGAGTATGATGTTTCAACTGTTTTGTTTGTTTTGTTTCACAGACACTTAATCAACATCCTCTGATTGGGCAGAGAATGCATGATGCTTATGATGTGAGTACACAAATCATACATGTACCTCTTTCTTTTCTTTAATTTCTTTGAACTTCAAAGATTTCTCTGGCAGGAAATGCGAAGTGAATAACTGAACAGCGATTTTACGGTGCAGTTGTAACTGGTTCCCTTTTCATGAAGTTTGCTTTGTTTCAAATGATGATATCTGACTAACAATAATTTGGCATAAATAACATCATGAAAATGAGCAACAATATGTACCTGAAGTGGGTGGCTATGTGCAGTTCATTATGTAGCCTGATGATTGTAAATAAAGGTTATTTATTCATCATAAAGATAAGACGTGTTCTTCTACATTTTGTTTGTTGAGAGCCAAAATAGTGTTTATTCTCACTGTGTTAAGGTTCAACACTAACAGGTGCCTGGGACACATGGGCACCCAAAATCCAATTAAGAATAATAAAAACGGTGCTAGAAAAGCGCTTTCCACTGAAGTCTCTAAGGGCTATAAAAAATGAAATACAATGATAAACAATTACATATTAAACAAAACAAATAAACCTACAAATTACAATACATATGAAATATACATCAATGTGAGCAGAGTAAGTTAATCATCAAAAGCAATTTTGAAGAAATTTGTTTTGAGACAAGTTTCAAATTGGTTGACAGTTGTTGACATGTAAAGGTAGTTTGTTCCAAAAATCAGCAGAAGCTTTGCAAAAAGAGCGATGACCATGAGAAAGAGTTGACACCGAAGTAGACACGAGTTTTAACGAGGGGCTCATGCATGCAAATCTTAGAACTCTCAATCTAGACCGCCTATGAAAAAAGTTATTGTGGAGCCCTGGTTAAGGTATATTTCGTTAACATCCTTCCGGCTCCAAAGAGATGATTCCTTATATTACTGTGATTGATATAGTTAACGTGAATGGTGATTTGACTTGAGGAAAGTGGGGAGCGTTCATAGTTCTTTTATTCCTTTAATTGAACCTTAGGTGATTGGTAATTTCTTCCATGCGGAAGGAAAGGGTCTACCCATGAAAGTGATTGAGTGTCAAGCGTTCAAGGAAGCCATGGGCAAACTCGGCAAGTTTGGTACCTCCACAAAGAGACTGATTGAAGACTACCTCATGGCTAGGGGCATGCAGCAGGTGAGTTTGAGATTAAGGCAAGTTGGGTTTATTTGAGGTTAAGAGGCGAGTCTTGATTGAGATGAGTTGAGGTGAGTTGAGATGAGTTGGGACTGACTACTAATAAAATAGCAAGGGTCAGGCTTCAGATGAGTTTGACATTAATTAAAACAAGTTGAGTTTATTTTTGTTGAATTGAGACTGATTACCTGATGGCTAGAGTCATGCAGAAGATAAGTTTGAAATTGATTACAATGAGGTGAAGTGAATCGAGTTGAGAGTGATTGCAAACTTCCTGATAGCAAGGGTCATGTCAAATGAGATTTTGAAAGTGATTGAGAGGAGTCAAGCTGAGCTGAGATAAATCAACATGAGTTATACTATTTTGATATAAGACTACCTTATGGCTAGGATCATGCAGTAGGTGAGTTTGAGATTGATAGGGATGAGTTAAACTTATTTGAGTTGAGTTGACGAGATGAATTTTAGATTGATCTAAATGATTTAGTTTTTGGGATTGAGTTGAACAGATGGGTTTGAGATGAGTTAAGATGAGTTGAGATGAGATGAGACTGATTGTAAGGTATCTGATAGCTAGGTTCATACAGAAGGTGAATTGAATATTGGTTGAGATGATTTGATTTTTTTTGGGGGTTGAGTTCAACAGGTGAGTTTAAGATCAGTTAAGATGAGTTGAGATGAGTTGAGACTGATTGTAATGTATCTGATGGCTAGGGTCATGCAGGAGGTGAATTGACGTGAAAAAAAAAAAATTGAGTTTGGATAGTTTCAGATTGAGTCAAGTTGAGTGGAGTTGAGTTGAGTTGGGTTGAGTTGAGTGCAGGAGTGGAATTGAGTTACATGTGAATATGATACAAATATTTAATGCTCCCGAGTTCAATACAGCAAAATATATGAACCGACACATTTAGAATTTTCTGGGTGGTGATATATTGCACCGAGGTTAGAAGTCGTGGTTGAAATATAATGAGGGACCAGAAATGTTGAATTTGGAGGTAAATGTAGGTTATATAGGACTACTACATATTATCTACTAAGTGTTAATTATATTATACCCAGATATGAATTCCATGAATCTTGGAATGGGCTCTAACAATTTGGCTGCTTTCTTTGCCTCTTCACAGGGTCACCCATTTGCCACAAGTGCACTTTTGCACAAAACAATAGGCACCAGTTGATGATTGCTTTATGCAACACAATGGCTTTGCAAAATTACTGATTGTAATGTATCTGATGGCTAGGGTCATGCAGGAGGTGAATTGACGTGAAAAAAAAAAATTGAGTTTGGATAGTTTCAGATTGAGTCAAGTTGAGTGGAGTTGAGTTGAGTTGGGTTGAGTTGAGTGCAGGAGTGGAATTGAGTTACCAAAGTGGGTTGCACTTGGTTGGTTTGAAATGGTTTGGAAGGAATTGAGTCAAGAATGATGTAGGAATAAGAAAGCTTCTAATCCAATAGCAGATGTGAATGAGATTAAGAGTACATGTTGTTTATTTGTTTATGAATTGCATGAAGTTAGATTTTATCCAAGGTAGAAGAGGTATGTACAAGTGATAAGACTAGAGATTACTTAAGACTTATAGTTAACTTCAATAAAGATTCTCACTTCAATGGGCATCAAGTGATATTGATTATAGCTGTTTTTAAAGATGTTTCTCAATGTTTTTCTATATTCAAATCAATTCAATACCTTCCTTCGTTTATTTTTTATTTCAGGAAGCAGCGAACCAGTCTGATTCTCCCCTAGGAACCCTTACAATCAAGTGCAATTATAAACAGAGTCAGCAGAAACTCAGAGTCAGGGTCATGAATGCTACTCAAATCAGACCTATGGATGACAATGGTAGGTAAACCTTAAATCTTGAGTATTCTCCTTATTGCTAAATGTATTGATGTCAAAGTATGTGAATTTTTGTAAACAAAATTGTAATGTTCTACCAGTTCAGAGATTGGCTGCTTTTTTTTCTGCATGTGAATGACACGTGAGGGGAGTTTAAAGCTGAAGCAGGATAATTTCAACCTGCTATCTTGACAATGTACTCTGTACCACCATGCCATTTCTGGCTCATGGCATAGACACAATGAATGAAAACTAAGATCGTGGTCTTGTTTCATTGCATTGAGATGATGCAAATGATGTTTGATTGTGGACAGTGTGGTTAAATTCATTCTAGACAAATTTCTCTCTTAAAACTTCCTGAAATTCATGCATGTTCACTGTAGATGTTGCCAATTTAAAGGTTTTTGATGCTTACTTTCCCCAATACAGGTTTGAGTGATCCGTACGTGATAGTGTACCTACAGCCTCACCACGTCTTTCCTCAGACTCACTTCCAGAAAACACAGGTCATCAAGAAGACGTTGCATCCGCTCTTTGACGAGACCTTTGAATTGTGAGTACATGTGAATATGATACAAATATTTAATGCTCCCGAGTTCAATACAGCAAAATATATGAACCGACACATTTAGAATTTTCTGGGTGGTGATATATTGCACCGAGGTTAGAGGTCGAGGTTGAAATATAATGAGGGACCAGAAATGTTGAATTTGGAGGTAAATGTAGGTTATATAGGACTACTACATATTATCTACTAAGTGTTAATTATATTATACCCAGATATGAATTCCATGAATCTTGGAATGGGCTCTAACAATTTGGCTGCTTTCTTTGCCTCTTTACAGGGTCACCCATTTGCCACAAGTGCACTTTTGCACAAAACAATAGGCACCAGTTGATGATTGCTTTATGCAACACAATGGCTTTGCAAAATTACCCATTTCCAGTCTTGATTAGCTCAATTTTAACTCTAGTATACATGTAGATTAATCTGACACTCGAACAGTTAAATATAAATCTTGAATCCTATGTCTAAAGACTCTATCCCTTCATAAATACTATGTGACGCAGATTTAATGTACATTTACATTGTACATGGTGATACATGTACATGTACACATAAGACTTGTAAAGACTGCTCGTTCAAGGGCTGAGAAAGAAATTCACTATTTTCATTTTATTGGGGTTTTTATAACTTCCCTTTTTCCATTATTGTTTAATATTTTAATGAACTTATTTATATTCTAGTGACAGATTTACAGATGTTATTTACAGCAAATTTTGCTAATGTATGTGTTCTTGTAATGTGATTTTTTATGAAAATGAATAAACTTAATTGAATTGAATAATTGAATTGAATTCTATCTGATACCCCCGAAGCAATGTACCTCACGACCAGGTGTTATCTTACGGTGCTACCGTCCACTTCGTCCTCATGGACTATGACTTTCTAACTAATGACTTTCTATCTGATACCTCCTGCAGCAATGTACCTCACAACCAGGTGTTATCTTACAGTGCTACCGTCCACTTTGTCATCATGGACTATGACTTTCTAACTAATGACTTTCTATCTGATACCTCCTGCAGCAATGTACCTCACAACCAGGTGTTATCTTACGGTGCTACCGCCCACTTCGTCCTCATGAACTATGACCTTCTAACCAATAACTTTCTATCTGATACCCCCTGCAGCAATGTGCCTCACAATCAGGTGTTATCTTACGGTGCTACCGTCCACTTTGTCCTCATGGACTATGGCTTTCTAACTAATGACTTTCTATCTGATACCCCCTGCAGCAACGTGCCTAACAACCAAGTGTTATCTTACGGCGCTACCGTCCACTTTGTCCTCATGGACTATGACTTTCTCAAGAATGACTTCGGTGGTGAGGCGTACCTGCAGATAAACGATGTCCCTGGTGTTCATGGCAAGAAGAGCAAGAACCTCGGTGAAGAATCACCCATCTTACTTCATCTTCTACCGGGTGTTACTAAAGGTACTGCACACTTCTTTATTGGCAACATCCAAGACTTTACAGAGTTAAGGATAATAATAATGACAGTGGAATCTCATGTAGCACTCGTGTCTGGCACATAGCCACTCCTGGCGCTCCATTAGTGCAGGGTTTTGATACATATAGATTACATGTAACTCCTTTTAATCATTTAATCATTTGGTTACCACACAGTTATCACTCTTAGGCTAAACCTGTCAGCTTCAGTGCTACAAATGTGCCATTCTATGTTAACTGTCTCTTTTTGATTTCTTTATTGATCAGAGGATGAAGCATGGATGTACGTCCAGACTCTCAAGGAGAGGTCTTCAGACAAAGAAGCAGCCGAGTTCCTCAAGCTTCATAAGATAAAGTGAGCCAGGAGAAACATAGCTATTCCTACGCAGCAAGTTAGAGTAGACAGTCTTTGTACAACTCATTTCAACATGATTGCCATGGTCCTAAAGCCTGATGATTGCCTATATTGCCATTCCTGATGGAAAGAAAAGACAGAAGCAAAGCTTGCCAGAATACAGCTTCGCACCTTTGTTGACTCTATACGCAAGCAGGCATCCATCAAGACATTTTCACATGTCTTGTGTTGAGGTCAAATTTATATGTCATTGTAAAATGTATTATAGTACATGGATTAAAAACATGCAAGGGTATCTAATTCAATTACCTGTTTTGCCCTGGGAAGGGAACTGACTATTTGTAATCCCCCACAAAAACATTCTAGCTACAATGTAACTTCTGGGACCCGTTTCACAAAGCCTTTTTTGAATGAAAAATGACAAAAGTCAGTGATAACCAATCAGAAGCAAGGATTTCAGTAGCTTATAACAAAATCTGTCATTTGTCCCTGATGATAAGTTTTGTGAAACACCCCCCAGATGTTGGCTTGGTCGTGCCTCCCAGGGCATGGAGAGGGGTAAATTCTTTATTTTGTGTTCATCGTCAAATTGGCAACCCTTCACTATGAAAGTAGAGAATGTATGCATATTTCCTTACCTTTTGTGCTCTGTCTACTGTAGGTGTTAATATGATTATTTCATATCCCCACACTTCTAGCCAGGAAGACAGAAAAACTCACAAATACACCGAAATCTTTCTTGTCCAATGTGAATCGTGCATGTCCTGAAAAGCTTGAACTGTACATGTACATGTATGTGCAAATTCATTGCTATGAGGCGAAGCCTGTACATTAAGTTTAAGTTTGTGACATTATGGACAGACATAACGGCCCGAATTCACAAAGGAGGTTTGTCGACAAACCTTTGTTTGTCGACGCGTTTTTACACGTTTTTCACAAACCTGGTTTGTAAAGAACAAAAGGAGGTTTGTCGACAACCCTCCTTTGTGAATTCTGGCCAACGTGTTTTTAGCACCATTTCCAATATCCATGTAGAGGTGAAGTATATGTACATGTATGTAGTGTCATACGTTTGTTTTATGATTCCCTTTGTAAATACAATACATGGTGTAAAGTTCTTACAACACTGAATAAGATTCTTGATGTCTTTCAAATTATATACATAGAAACTATTACAAAGGGTTTGCTTACTTATATTTTTGCCAAAAAAACATTATGACTTAATTTTTCTTGAATGAATGAATTTATATATATTTCTTGGTTTGAAAATACATGTACATTGTTGTGTATTTGCATGTAGCTACCCATAGTTCATACTTCATTAAATGATCAAAGAAGAGCATCACAAGAACCAATACACTATACTTGATTGAACTTAAGAGAGATTGTCATTGAAGCCATTTTCAAGGGATCTTTAAAATGCTTATGCAATTGTTAGTGACAGATACATGTATAGTTGGTATTGCTGTGCCCTTAGAGTGCCTTAGATTTCATTCCTAGTAGGATTGTGCTTTGAGTTAATATCTTGAGAGTGCTGCCAAAGATAGATAAGTGCTGTGCCTAATGTCATCATTATACTCTATGTGATTGTGTTATCATCGGTTTGGAGGAAGATTAGGGTGTTCACTTTTATCCCGACAGAAATTGAAGATTATTTTGAAGGAAAAAAATGTGACATGAATATGTGTTTTGATTCTGATCCACTTGGTTATCTCAACCTTAGGTATTATATGTAGCTGAAACCCTTTTTGGAGTCCAAGTTGGTCAAGACTGAAAATACTATTTTTGTGCCAAGTACGGTCTTTCATTTGAATCAACATTGCCTTAGATTCAGATTCAGATTCAGATTTTATTTCCGTTTCAAAACAAACAAAATATAAACAGACATAATATAATACAGTCAAATATAATATAAACAAAGTAAATTCAGTATTATGTAGAACAAAATTTAGTTGATAAGAAATATTGGGAAAAAACAGTACTGAACAATAGAAAAAAAATGACCTTGATGAAGTAATTCAAAACGGAGGGGCTTGCTAAAAAAGCAGAGCTTGTATGAGGCAAGCCCCTGACTTAGTTACATGGATACGCTTAAATAATTATGGTCGAAAGCTAATACCAGTAAAACACACTAAAAGGGAATACAAAAAAAAAGAAAAAGTAAAAGTAAAAATAAAAGTAAGATAAATATAGTAACAGAGAGAGAGAGAGAGAGAAAGGGGTGAGAGCAAGAGAGAAATAGAGAGCGAGAGAAAGGCAGGAAGAAGGAGATGGGGACAGGAGGCAGGTACACCACCAGGTCGTTAGGCTTGTTTAGATTATTCTTAAAAAGAAACTAAAAAGGAGGAAAGGAGGAATAACAAAAGGAAAGATTTGTTTTATCTTTCCGTAGGTTTAGATTTTTGAGCTTGGCTTGTTGGTGGGGAGTATTGGCTGATTAATGTTTTCCTAAGTTTACGTTTAAAATTGCTAAGACTAGGGGCTTCTTTTATATCGTTGGGAAGAGAATTCCAATAGGCACATCCAGCGAAGACAAATGAATTCTGTGCAAATAATGTTCGTGTTAAGGGTAAGTGATAACAGTTCCGTTGTCTAGTCGGGTAATTGTGTACAGAGGCATTTTTGCAGAACATATCGGAAAAGATTGCGGGGAGGTCGTCTTTACTTAGTTTGAACATAAATTGGCCGAGTTGGAACACATAGATATCTTTCACTTTGAGAATATTATTTTCGAAAAATAAAATATCTGTATGAGATCTGAATTGTGTTTGAAATATTATCCTGAGTGCTTTTTTCTGCAGCAGTAGGATCCTATTTAATTGTGTTTGTATTGCACATCCCCATGCTATAATCCCATAATTAATGTATGGTAATATTAAGGTATGATATAATGTAAGAAGAGTTCGAGAAGGAAGAAAGTATTTGAGTTTATTGATAATACCGATGTTTCGTGAAATGGTTTTGCATATATTATCGATGTGAGTTTTCCATGATAATTTTTCATCAATAAACACTCCCAAGAATTTGGTTGTAGAAACATTAACAAGAAACTGGGCCCTATTTCATAAAATTTGTTATCAATAACAAGTTACAGTAGCTGTTATAACACTATGAACATTACTGACAAAGAAAGCGGACAAAATAAACAGTTCCTCAGGTAGACATATTAGGAACCTCCCTTCACTGCTATTATGTAAAAATGTGTAGAACAGGTGTCACATGCATATTCTTCTGTTCTACACATTTTTACATAATAGCAGTGAAGGGATGTTCCTTTGTCTACCTGAGGAACTGTATATTTTGTCCGCTTCCTTTGTCCGTCATATTCATAGTGTAAGCTACTGAAATCATGGTATTCGATTCGTTTCGATCAAATTTGTCATATAATTTTAGCATTTGTTATTGATAACAAGTTTTATCAAACAGGGCCCTGAAACTCTCAGCAAATTGGTATATAATACAGTTTATATAGTGCTAAATAAAAAAATGAAGATGCTATATTTTACATAATCACATACATGGTCATACATTGCCAACCACTGATTTGTAAGTAATAAGAGCTTTTATTTACATTAACTTTTTTAAAAATAGATAGATGGTATATGTATATTTTGCAATATTACATTTTTTTTATAATACCGTATTGTAAACCATCGATTTGTAAGTGAAAAAAAGCCTTTGATTTTAAAATTTGCTTTCAGTTTATAAAAATTCAGGCAAAAGTCAATGTTATTACTCCCCTTTCCTTCTTTGTATTGTATATTTTATCTGAAGACTATATGATGGCTTACTAAATTAAATATACATTTGTTGGAAGATGTTATTGTTGAGAAATCACCCAAGAAAAAAAGGAAATTGTTTCATATTCTCCGCCCCCCCCCCATAATTGCCTTATTACTTATTCATAATGTACATGAGGTATGTAAATATTTGTATTATTTATTAGATACTAGATTCTTTTATAGTAAATGTAGCGTTATATCATACAGAATATAAAATGGGTTGTATATGGGGATAATGCTTGTATATTTTGCAGCTCTATACTATACATTGTCTATCCTGCTATATTGCTATATACATATCAAACCATAGGATATGTGTATGATTTACTAGTAATGTAGGAGATTGTCAGAGATTTCGGCTCTTGGAGCAACAGATAGACAACTTCTTCAAAGTGTTCATGATGACGATATTTCAAATTCATCATTTTATTATCACACCGCATTGAGCTTTTCCCGCTCCCAAATAATGATGTGTTAAATATATTACATTATATACTTTAAATTGCATTCTGCATGCCTTTTATCTTATGTAACAGGAGGATTTCTGTTTATTTATTTTATTTCTTTATTATTATTTACAGTACTAGTAATTATAGGTGCTTTAGAATAAGAAAGATGCCATATTTTGTTTAGAGACAGAACGGCATTAACCCATTGTAAAATAATATGAGTTGATATCCTCCTTGCTCTAAACAGGTGAACTATTTTGCCTCTTTGTTGAAATGAAAATAATATTATGCAAATTGTCTTGTGTCACATCTTTTTCTGATGGAGAAAGTTGATTTTGCCTATTCATCTGATTTATGCAAATATATTTATCATGGACTGTTTTACATGACATGATATAGCTGCGTGTATACCTTTAAACCTCATAACTTCCTGCTTTAATTAACAAACAAAGGAAACATTGGAAGGGTAATAAAATCCCTAAATTAATGAAAGATTTCATGTATTTTTGTTTTTGTTGAATTAGATACCGGTTGTGGTATTGGTTTTGATCACCATTTCATGTAAAAGAGGCATGAAACTTACTACAACAGAAAATATTTCCACTGTTCTATTTTCATAATATGCACTTAACAAATTTGTAAACGTTCTGAGGAATCGAAGTGGTGGAAAGTACTGAAAAGAACGCCAAAATCCGTGATAATCAGTTACTGTTCATTTTATTTTTTTAAGCATTAAAAGAGCATTCTATACTCGTAAAGAAAGGCCAATTTCATCTTTGTAGACACACTCGGTCACGCATTCGTTGCCATGTCTTGCCCAACAAAGCAACTTTCAAAGTATCGTGCCCAAATTACACCAATCTCAGTTTATACTATCAATGATCTACAGTTTCCTAAGCACACCCTCTGGCGAAAGCAACTAATTACGTTTCTAAATGTTGTTGAATTTGAATTTGAATTTGAATTTATTAACAACAACACATCACAATAATGACAGTACATATGAACAATCATACAATGCAAAAAAAAAAAAAAAAAAATAATAATAATAATACTGATACATGTATACAAGTACATAACATAAGAGTAATGTCGATTGAACAGTAATGGTTTTAAAACAATATTTTTTAGACATACATCTGCATACTATTAAATGTACAAAAGATATATACTTAAATATGCATATTACTATGTTTAGGTGAAGTTGTTAATTGGAACTAGAAGTTAGCACAAGTGCTAGTCGAGCCTAGTTCCATTCTTTGGCAAGTAGATGTATAACAATCATGTGGACAAACAATGTGGATATATATAAGCACATGAGAGAGAGAGAGAGAGAGAGAGAGAGGGGGAGAGAGAGAGAGAGAGAGAGAGAGAGGGGGGGGACCTTCACTGGCAATAGATTAATTAGAAGTCATGGGACACATCCCCAGTCAAAGTAAATGATATATATTTTCTGTTGTATATTTCATCATATGTATTTATACATCTACATGTATATATTACTACTATATACAAATTAATCAATCATGCATTGAGAGAGAGAGAGAGAGAGAGAGAGAGAGAGAGAGAGAGAGAGAGAGAGAGAGAAATGGGGAGGGGGCGCACAGTGGGCCAGGGAGGAACCAAAATGCGCCAAAACTCATGTTTGGGGATTTATTTTTTATAAATCCAGAGGAATGTTTGGATTTCCAGGGATTTTCGCTTAAATTTTATTACTAACATTTTCTCTGATGTCCAAGCTTTAAGTTGATACCAGATTTGGCTGCCCGATTCTGCCCGTTATTATGTTAGCGCCGTTTTCCTTGCAACATTGCCCCGAATCAATAGGTTCCTCCCTGGCCCACTGTGGGGGGCTGGACAAAGAAAGAGGGGAGGGAGGTAGCCAGTGGCGTACCTGGGGTACTCCGTCAGGGGGGGGGGGGCAAGCGACCGAAACAAACAAAAAAGGCGATGCTAATTTTCACTTCTGGCGAGCGAGCGAGCAAAAAAAAAATTCTTTAAGTAACGTTTGGTATATAAACTGAAATTGTTGCAAGTTGGGAGTGGGAACATTCACTTGTTAGCGACGTTAATTTCATTTTTTTGCAAACGAGTGTAGCGAGCAAGAAAAAAAAAATCACTTCTTTTTTAATAATTGCCACTTAAACTTGGTTCAATTGTCCCATGCAGGGCGCGGGAACAATATTGTATTTAGGGTGATTTTTAGCTAGCGAGCGAAAATACATCTTTCTCTCAATGAATTGCTATATAAAATTTGTTTCATTGTTGCAGGTAGGGGGCGGGCACAATCGTGTTTAAGGTAATGTCAATCCCATTTTGGCGGGCAGGCAACCCCCTACATTTCTCTTTTTAATGATATTGTAGAAAGTTAGTGGTGGGCACATAATTCCACGAGCTAGCGAGCGTAGCGAGCGAAAAAAAAATTACTTTTCTTTTATAGGGAAAATATGGTACATAAAACTTGGGTTCATTGTTCCATGTCAGGGACGTGATTATTAAAAGCGGTGTTATTTCTATTTTGGCGAGCGAGCGAGCAAAAAAAAAATCACTTCTCTTTTATAGGGAAAATATGGTACATAAAACTTGGGTTCATTGTTCCATGTCAGGGACGTGATAATTATTAAAAAGCGGTGTTATTTCTATTTTGGCGAGCGAGCGTAGCGAGCGAGCAAAAAAAATCACTTCTCTTTTATAAGGAAAATATGGTATATAAACTTGGGTTCATTGTTCCATGTCAGGGACGTGATTATTAAAAGCGGTGTTATTTCTTATTTTGGCGAGCGAGCAAAAAATTTTGTAATGATAATTGGTTCATAAATTTCAGATTTTTTTGTTGCAGGGCAGGGCTTACACAATCATGTCTAAGGTGATGTTAATTCCATTTTGGCGAGCACGAGCACACCAAAACTTCTTTGAATAACGTTTGGTACATAATTATTAACTGGTTATTGCAGGTTGGGGCGGGCACGTTATAGCGGTGTCAATTCCATTTTGGCGAGCGAGCATAGCGAGCAAGCAAAACAAATAAATTATCTTTTAATAGAAATTAATAAATAAACTTGTTTTTATTGGTGCAGGTCAGGATGGACGCAATCGCGTTTAACGCGATTCAATCCCTTTTTGGCGAGAGGGCGAAAACACTCTTCCATATTTAATGATATTGTTGCAGGTCAAGGGTGGGCACAATTGTTTCCAAAGCAATGTCTATTCATTTTATTCGTGAGCGAGTGTAGCGAGCGAGAAAAATGAATTAGTCTCTTTTAGTAACATTTGGTACATATATTGTGTGTTATTGTTGCCATGGTTGCAGGTCGGGGCCCGTCGGGGCAGGCACAATTGTATTCTAGGCAATACTAATCCTTTTCTTTTTTCAGGGGGACGAGCAAGTGAAAACATTTAATACAAAATAGGCTAGCAAGCAGTTCGCGCCAGCGAAGAGTTTTAAATTTGTTATATCACTTATATTTTCCTATTTTCATTTGTTTTAATTTTTCAGGGCCGTATGCGGAATATTTTTCTGGTGGGGGAGGGGGAAAGCAAAAGGAGTGAAGGGAGTTCGAGCGACCGAACTGGTCATGAGGGTACTTTTGCATTTTCAAAAGTAGAATTGAAGGATTTGGTATAGGCCTACACTACATTTTCAGGAAAAAAACTGTACGTTTTCAAAATATCTGGGGTCAACTGCCCCCCCCCCCCTGGTGCGTACGGCCATGATCTTTTTTTTTTTTTAATTTCCCCATTTTTATTCCTTTCCTTTTTTTTCCCCCTTTTTCTTCCTTTTTTCTTCTTCTTCCTTTTTTCTTTCCTTTTTTTCCTTTTTTCTCTTTCTTTCCCTTTTTCTTCCCTTTTCCTTTTTTCTTCCCTTTTCCTTTTTTCTTTTTCTTTCCTTTTCCTTTCTTTTTTTTCTTTCCCCTTTTTCTTTTTTTCTCCTGGAGCCCGTCAGGGGGGGGGGAGGACACTCTGCCCCCCTGCCCCCCCCCATAGGTACGCCAGTGGAGGTAGCCCATGTGTGTCTCTGTGTCTCCCTATCACTCTCACACTCAAACACATGCACACGCGCACGCACACACACTCTCTCTTCCTACTTTCTTCCTGGCCTCTATATCCCTCTACAGTGCGAGTCCAAAATTAAATCGCTTTTAATACTTCGGTAGCTTCGTCCTAAACCTGTGCAACACCTATGACCTTACCATTCTCTTCTCTTTCGATTCTGTAACACTTAATTTCCCTCTTTCCTCTCTGTTTATTAAACTCATTTTGCTCTCTCGTTTATACGCACACTCACACGCAACTATCCAGTCCATATTCATCCACTCCACTTTACAGTTAAGCCCGTCACACACTACACATTGTCCTGCGATCCGATTTGTGTAGAAAGGGTAGTTAGATATGACTTTGGTTTTGTAACTTAATTTGGTATGATGATATGAGAAACGTATTTATTCACAAAAAGACTTTAAGCATTCTTCTTACAACCCCCAATTAAGAATTAAATAAACTATCATCTTGGTTCAAATCCAATAAACTCTCTCTAAATATTAATAAGACTAATTGTATTTATTTCAAAAACATAAACTCTAAACATGTACTTCAGTATGATATTTTTATAGATGACATACCCATTATTGAAAAAGAAGTAACAAAATTCTTAGGTGTAATGATTGATTGAAATTTAACTTGGAATAGTCATACTAACAACATTTGCATGCTAGCCTCGAGAGGCATAGGCATTTTATATAAATTGAAATATTATCTATAACAAAAGTCACTATTTATGCTTTACAATTCCTTCATTTTGTCATACATATCTTATTGTAACATAACGTGGGTTAATAGTAATAAGATGAAAATTATGTTATTATATCGTCTCCAAAAGAGAGCACTCCGTCTTTGTACACATTCACATTATTTAGCCCATACTGATCCAATATTTTATAAACTAAAAAAGATTAAAATCGATGATATTCACAGTTTTCAAACTGCAATCTTTATGTATGAATTTTGGATAAATACTATACCTTTAGCATTATTGGGGGGGGGGGGGGGATAAGGTCATCTTTTTTAGGTCATCCATTAGGATTTTATTTTATTTTTTAATAAAAAAAAAAAAAAAAATCAGCACTCAGAAGGGGGAGGGGGAGGGGGGAAGGGTTTCTCGAAAAACATACACGTAACAAAAACTTAAGGGGGTCGGGTTTAACCCCAACCCCCCCCCCCCCCATGCGTACGCGCCTGAACACTACAATATACATCTATGTACACTATGCTACTAAAAGCGGCATCGATATACATTCTTATCCTACACGACACTCATCGGATTTCCATTTAACCAAAGCAAAACAAATTATTATGGCCGCTGAATAAGCGGGGGGGGGGGGGGGGGGGGTGTAAGAGCCACATTTTTTTTTGTCAGAAGAAAAAATGTCAGCGGTAAAATGTCAGAGTTAAAAATGTCAGAGGTTATAATGTCAGCACTGCTTAATTTCTTCTTTCTTTAACTTTCATTTACCTTTCGGCCGAAAGTTAAGATTTTTGCCCGATTATTGCTGAGGGGAGGCGATGGCTATTTCCGTAAAGTCCGTAAAGCCTTTTACAACCACAAACCCCAAAAATAGTTATCGGCCCATGACTCTTCAATTGTGTTTTCTCTCTTCACTTGGGTAGGAGGAGGGGCACGCGTTTCTCCGGTGCCCCCTGAATCCACCACTGGCCTTCCTGATCGATTTGAATCACCGAATGTAAGTTTAAATAAACTATTTGTTGACAGATTTTACTCTCATTTAAGATATCACGACTTTGACAGATTGTCATTTCTTGAGCAATAAGCCAGTATATACATATAATCTGCGCATTGGCAGATAAATGTAATTTGTACCAAAAATTTTAAAACCCAACGGTGAGAGTTATGTATTAAACATTCATTCATGCACCTATGGCAACATATGGAACACTGTTGGAATTATTTTTCACACGACAGCAGACAAACGGTATAGATGAATTACATCTATTAATTTGGCGATGATTTTTCCAAAATGCACAAAGCGGGACTACTCCATTGGTATAAGATCTGTGGATATTTGGGGGTCATTATTACCATTACGAACTGGTCTGTTTTGCGGAGATATGGTTGGTATTAAATACATCTCTTTTCCTCAAAGAAATACATAACACAGAAAACATGAAGTTCCCTGTTTAAGAATTAATTATACAATTATTCTGTCAAAATCATCTGGTGGGCATCACAATCTGTCGGGTTTTCGAATTTCTTCCGACGACGCAAGTACACAATGGCCAGGACGATGATTGCGACTACAACGTGAACGATCGTCGATATTACCAGCGGTATCCACACATCAGACTTGACAGGAGATTCTTTAGAAAGAAAGTAAAGAATTAACATTTATTGTTAAAAGAAATAGCACAAGTTTGAATAAATAGCTGCATTAAGTATTTAACTAATTTTTTATTTTATTTTATTTTATTTTATTTCTGCATTTTTCCAAATATAATAACAGAATAACAAAGAACCTGTAAACATAGGGTATAATACAAAATATACAAACAATGATAACTTCATTTCAAAATGTTATTATTGTTTTAAAAATTATAACGAAACTTCATATTTATGTAACATACTATTATAAATAAAGTCTAATCCAAACTATCAATTGAAAAAGTGCAGGAGACCGCAATCATAAGCGAACGTGACTAGGATGGCGGCTTAAAAAGAAAAAAATAATAATCTTAAGGTAAAACTTAAAATGAAAAAGTGTTTAATCGTTCTTTTTGTATGAGTTTGTGAGTGTGCTGTGTGAGTTTGTGGTGTGTGTGCATGTGTGTATGTGTGTGTGTATGCAGTGGCGGATCCAGGGGCCCCAGGGGGCCTGGTCCCCCCTCCCCCTGGGAAAAAAATCATGTAAAAACACGTGATTTTTGGCTTTTGGGGGAATTGGCCCCCCTGGCGTTCAAGGGGGGGGGGATGGTGCACATTTCCGAGGACCCCCCCCCCATCTGGCGCTGCTCAGTGGCTGCCGGGCTCACGATCAATTGGGCAAAAAGAATTTCCATTTTCGGTTTAATACAATTTGGAGTGGACTTAAATATTTAGATTATTATTATTATTATTATTAATTGCGCCCCACCTGCCTGTGCTGATTTTACGTACCATCAGGTTGGTCTACGGTACTGCACCGCTCTTCAGGGATCGTGGTAGACCGTGACGTGCAACCGATGAGTGATGAGTTATCAGGAAGACCTGAGAACTCAAAGCCACGATCATGCTCCGTTTGGTAGTTGCTGTCGATGTCGAATCTAACACATATAGAAGGCAGTGCCACAAACAACAGCAGTGTCCGCAATGCCTAAATCAACAGCGAACGCCGGTGTCTCGCCTTTCACGTACTGCTGTGACCTCTGCGTAGCATCAAGAATCTGTTCTCTATAGTCATATCTGAGGAGCGGAGTATAGATATTTTACTAAACCTGGGTGGAGAGAGGCAAATGTAGATTGAAAATGTCTTACCAACTAACATTTGTGCCGCGGCGTGACTTAAAACGTGAACAGTCTGGTGACGTATTCACTAGATAATGTCTTGTATTCGCTTTTCGCATTTCAACTAAGTTCTTGAGAACTTTTCGATTTTGTTGAGGTTCTATATTTTATAAAAAAAAACTTTTACGTCATTCTTGGTCGCAGCCGGGTAAGTTTCAATATTTTAGGCATTCAGGCATTTTAGGCAAATATTATGTTGTCGGCATATCTTACCTTTTGCCAGTCTTAGTCTGATCAAGGGCTACCCAAGCACTGAGTTTCCACAGGTTTATCCCTGTAACATTTGTAGTGTGCTGGCTTTCATGGAAGGTGATCAAGACTCGAAGGTGGACTTGGTCTCCAATCTGGTCCTGTGCCATGACAAACGGTGACACTCTCCTCACCCTTACATCTTGGATAAAAGGGATGGAGGTGAGAGAGAGAGACAGAAAGAGAGAGAGAGAGAGAGAGAGAGAAAGAGAGGAAGATAGAGAGAGAGAGAGAAGAGAGAGAGAGAGAGAAAGAGAGAAAGAGAGAGAGAGAGAGAGAGAGAAAGAGAGAAAGAGAGGAAGATAGAGAGAGAGAGAAGAGAGAGAGAGAGAGAGAAAAGAGAGAAGGGATAATTGCGGTTTAAGGAGGTTATGCGATATTTAGCTATCAGACCGAATAGGCCAGTATAAAGTGCACTGCGTGCTATTTTCCATAATTAACCATTTGGATTTGGAAAAATAATAGGCCTAATAAGTTAAACATCGTAAATGTATGTTAATTATACATAAATATAAGCATGGTACATGTAGAAAGGAAATGTTAGAACCTCCAAATTCCCAAAGCCCCCCACCCCACAACAAAAAAAATACCCCCCCCCCAAAAAAAAAAAAAAAAAAAAAATCGAAAAAAAAAAATCTTATGGAATCACTTTTGATACTTTTGTGTAATAAACTTAATAAACAGGCGATAAACTTACCCCCCCCCACTCTTGCCAACATTAAAATACACCTCTATATAATTGAGAGTCAGGAGGCGTAACATTTCAATCCCTCAAAATATGTGTAACTTTGCCTAGATTACCTTTGCCCCGGGCGCCGCACGAGAAATTGGTCTACCATTTTTCGTGCGATTTTGGGGGCATCGTAGGAGGCTACGGGCTACGATGTTTGTGTTTATCTACGAGCATCGTGCCATATTTTGTATGGGCCCTTGGGGGAAGGCCGGGGCAAATCCGTACAGAGGCTGCTCGGAGACTGTACGGAAATCGTGAAATTTCAGTGCAGTAACCGTGCAGTCTCCGCAGCCTCCGCACGGAAATCGTATGGAGCCCGTGCAGCTTCCGTGCAGAGATTGCGCGGAGAAGGCGCGGTGACCATGCAGCCGCCGTGCCGTTGTTTGCCCCCATGTTCACTGACAAATCGTGCGTTTGCTGCATGATCAGCGCAAGGCCTCTGTGCGATGCCCATGCGGGGATCGTGCAATGCCACCTACGACATGTCTACGGGCTATACGGGCTTACGATATTCCAAATTTGTATAACTTCCCGCGAAATAAAATCGTAAAGGCCGCGGAGCCCGTGAATCCGTACGAATTTCTCACGGCCGCCTTCTGCCTCCGCACGGAGGCCGCACGGAAAAGGAGATACGGACAGGATACGGGCTCCGTAGACTAATCGCAGGTCAAATGTAATCTAGGCATATTGCTGTTTTCACGAAGTGACGGTAGTGAAAAAAAATTGCATTCACTTTGCGTTACGATTTTCCTCACTACCGTCACTTCGTGAAAACAAGGACTATGCATCAACAAACTTTAGGATATATAACTTACGATATGGGCAGGATAGACAGCATTCGCCTTTAAGTCTCACAGGCCTGTTGCAACCAGGATCGGGGCATTCCTTTGTAGAACACGCTGCTGTTCCGTTGTTACAAGTACAGTGTGTACATGGATCTCGTTGCCAGACATCTTCATGCAAATGTATTCCTTCCGTATCCACACATGGAAATATGTCACGGCCTAGCCATTTAGAGAAATAACATCGTTAGCTATTTCCTACTGAGTCAACTAACTATATTTGTGTTTGGAGAGAGAGAGAGAGAGAGAGAGAGAGAGAGAGAGTGTGGAGGGGGGGGGGGGGGGTCCAGACCAGAAGTTAAGTCTAGACCGATTCCGATGCATATTTCAGGAGAGCCTTTCTATCAAATTTCATTTCATTTCATTTTTTTTCAAATCTAATCTTCTGAAGGTGAAACAAATCGATATATTTTATAAATGATAATGGTAAAAAACAAATATGGATAGTATATAAGATTTATACAAGGCCAAATAACAAAAATAATGTGTTTCTCGTCCGGACTTTAATCAAAATGAGGAGGCAGGGCATTACAATTTACTTTTTGCAATTTCTTTTGCAATTTTTTTACCAAGATGGCTGCTAATTATAGCTGGCCAAGCCTATTTGTTCACATATATTGTGCTATGTGAGTGTAATGATGCAATGTATGACAAAATAAATGATATGTATCACTTTAGAAGCTATTTGAAGATAAAGTTATGTTCTGGTCATGCAATTGCATTGTGTAAGAAACGTTGTGGAATCTATCAGATAAGGTTAATCGTCTATATAAGTATTGGTTTGTACTACAAGATTCTGGATTCATCAACATGATAAGAAATTTGGCCTAGTCTTGGTAAAAGTACAAGCAATTGGGGGGGGGGGGGGGGGGGGGGGGGGGTAAGCACCATTTTGTTGTGCCCTCGAAAAATTAAAAATCGCACCCCCCCCCCCCCATCTTGAGCACCATGGAAGGGGACCCTTCTCCAAATAAAGGTAAAATTAACGTGTTCTTACATGTTTTTCATCCCAGGGGAGGGGGCTCGGGAAATTCCTGCCCCCTCCCCCAAAAGTGTAGAAACAAATGCAAGTATCCCAAGCCTCCACCACGTTCAGCACCCTTCCCCAAATAATATTGCAGAACCGCTCATGTCATTGTAAACAATGTTAACACTGATGGTATTGTTATCTCCAACTTTTTAACCCACCCGGTAAGCCTTGTGCCCCTTCCCTACCAATCGCCCCTTCACCCCGGGCCTCCATAGCTTGGCCTACTTCCCTACCAGCACATAGTGAAGTGCAGCCAATCAACGATGTAGAGCTGTCTGGGTCACTGCCAAAATTGAAAGGACGACCATCGGTTGTTACTGCATTTCGTCCACGTTTAAGCTCAACACAGACATTAGCCTCGTCGCAGTTTAAAGACGGAGCAACGAAGGTATACACGACGTCCAGGAAGATGATTCGATTTCCTTTGACGTACCACTGCGATGCTTGATCAACATTGAGAACTTGCTCGGTGAAACCTATCCTGTGACCGATAGTGACCAAAGTGAATGCAAAATGAACACTTCACATACTGACTTGTATTACTGGTATATGACCTGGTTGCATGCATCCATCCACTGGCTTGATTTGAGCGAGGAACACAGTGATTAACTTTGAATTTCCCATCTCAGGCTCAGGTAACGCCAAACCATCCGACAATTAACAAATAAACAAATAAATAAACGAATAATAACTAATAAGTAAATGAATAGATAGATAAATAGATGAATAGATGAATAAATAGATGAATTATCTAATGATTTATTTAATCAATAATGAAAGTGATTGATAAATTCAATAAATAAAATGAATGAAAAAATACACTTCTCTGGCAAATGCAGTAATGATAATGCGACATTAACGACCTTCATCCCCGAGTTTCTGTTCTAAACTCAATTCAATTCGGGTTGTATTTATAAAATAAAAAAATAGAACAAAGTATGATACATAATATTATTGTAGTCCGAAGAGTAAAGATACCATGTTTTCAATATAGAATGGATAACATATATAAATAATAAACATCAAATTCAAGAATAAGAGTAAAAAGTAGTATTTTTTTTAACGCAGGTTATGACTCTTCATCTATGTTTTTTATAAGGAGATCGTATTCACATACCTGTGAGTAGTGTTTACAGGAGCAATCCAGGCAGACAACTCCCAGAGAGATTCGCCTCTCACTCCTGACGTGTCTTTGGCATCTTTGAATGTGACGTCTGCCGCAAGAACTATTGTTGCGTCACCGTTAGTTGTCACATTGCGTTTAGTTTGTATGGTGGGCTCTACTTTACGTACTGTCACGTCTGGTATGAATCAGGATTTAAGAAATAGATTTGATGGCTAGTTTATAATTATCATGATACGAAAAGAGGGGGGGGGGTGAATTAACGTTGGATGCTGAAACATTTGAGTTTGGCATGTCTGATATTAATGAGTCACAAGACTATCTCAATGTTATAACTTCCGGAGCATATGAACTACAAGCATTGCTTTCTCTTTAGGCTCCATCATACTTTTTCCTTTATTTAACTTATTCTTATGTATTATTCTCTTCGTTTGTATGAATAAAAATAAAATAAAAAAGTAACATGCCAAATGTATTAATGTATCATACAGCATGTGAAATATGAAAATAAACTAAAACTGAAACTGAAACTGCAACTGAAACCCTAATATCAACGCAGTGGAAATTTATTTATTTATTCAGTTTTATTTAAAAACAGGTCATTCTTTTCAGTGCCAGAGGCCTGCTTTACAAAAGAGCCCTGTACATACAAAGATTTACAAAAAATAGAATACATTGTAGAAAACAAAGACATTATATAAACAACATACCATAAGAGAACTAAAACAACTTAACAACTAGATCAAAATTAACATAAGGCCTGAAATATTAAACATTTAAGATATTATTGATACAATACAAAATACAAATACAAATACACATGCCATAAATAACAGACATAAAAAGGTAAGAAATAAAACTACTACAGACTACACAACTACAAACAAACAAAACTAACTGTAACAAGTCATGATATAACATTAGGTACCAGTGCATGCATTAAAGTGGAGGGAGTGATTTAATTTGTTTTTTTTTTGAACATTTGGAGTGAAGTTGCCGTGCGAATATGAGTCGGTAGATTGTTATAGATGCTTGGAGCGATGAAAGAAAAAGATTAGTCTTGGGTTTCGGGATAAATAAGGGATTTAAGGTAGAATGACGAGTAACATAGTAAACTGGACGTTTGCAAGCAAAAGGTTCGAAATAATAAGGGGCTAGATTATTAAGTATTTTGTAGACGAAAATGCAGTAGTGGCAGTTGATTCTATTTTCAACACTTTGCCATTGAAGAGTGCTTAAAAGGATGTCTTTTGGGGTTAGACAGTCTGCATTAAGGACTAATCTTGCATATCTGTTCTGCGTCCTCTGTAATTTGAGTAAATCTTTCTTTTTGCACTTGCCCCAAACAACTGAACAGTAATCTATATGTGGAAGAATGAGGGAGTAATAAAGATGTTTCAGTAGGCTTTAGTTCGAATAACTCTTAATCCTTCTAGTGCATGAAATAGCCCGATTAATCTTATTAGTCACATTCAATATGTGTGGTGTCCAACTTAGACTTTGGTCAAGGGTTACGCCTAAATATTTGATCTCGGTAACATTCTCAAGATAGTCTCGTTCATGACAGATTTTCAGAATTTGGTTCTTAGTTTTATGTTTCGTTCCAAAGACCATCAGTTTAGTTTTCTTTGCATTTATTTCCATATTAATTATTTCAAACCATTTACGCAGTAAATCATAATATTTTTGTAGTTTCTTCTGACTGCTTTTTAAATTGTTACCTTTACAAAACAGTGCCGTGAAATGACGACTTAAGTGCAACGGGAAAGTTAGACATTTGTAAAAACACACAACATAATTATACGCAACACTTCGGGGAAAAAGATGATGTAAACTTGAAAAAGAGAGGCCAAAAAAAATAAAAGAAGTTAGTAGAAAATAAAATAATTAAAAAGACAGAAATTTAGGGGGAAAAGGGGCTAGGTAAGAGCACAAAGGGAAATATGCATAATTTCGTGTCCCCCCCCCCCCACCCGGATCAACTTGAAAACCCAAATTTGTAACACAATAATAGTTAAAAAGTCCCGGGATCAGGCAATCTAGCAAATTTAAGTCAATCAAATCCTGCTTCAATCTATTTGGGGGTTTGTTATATGTATTGCAGTAGTAAATTCACGACACAGTCCCACATAGGTGTGATCATATGAGAGGGCGGGTGGGAGTGGGGGGGGGGGGGGGACTGTCAGAAGACTTACCGTATGGACAGACAGAGCAGCATTCTCCTGGCGGTTTAACGTGTTCAGTGCAGTGTGCCGGTTGACAAGATTCAACCACGCATGTTGTAGTGCTGTTATCACACGTACAGGTTGTGCATTCGTCAACGCGCCACACTTCGGAGTGAACAAACGGCACTCCATGATAAATACAAGGTAAAAGTTGTATGCCGGATGAGATGCTGATGGACTCTAAAATAAAATATGAATTGAAATAGATCCATCGAAATGTATCAAAATCACGGGAATAGTCTTATATGGTAATCGTGGGGAGGGTTATTTTTTAAGCTGACCAAGTTTTAATGGTCTAATCTATATAAATTGATCAAATTTTTCAATGATTGGAGTACTCTACCACAAAAATGTTCATTCATTGAAATGTAAGAAAATATCAAGAAAAACAAGAAGAAAGTTGTGTACACAGATGCTCTTTAGCAATACGAAGTTTCTAATTTCCGAAATAAAAAATGAAGGAATCAATAATAGAGAAAAGTATTGTTACCTTTTCTTTTTCTTCGCCCTTTCGAACAGAATAATTCGGTAAAAGTGTTCAATTCAAATCAATTGAATAATCGTATTATGTTGACAATTACCCCCACCCCCGAAAATTACCCAATCCCTTTTCATTAAAGGGGAAGTCTACCCTTAATTATCCTCGGGGTAATTGTCCTAGGGGTAATTGTCAGGGGGTAATTATCCGAGAACCAATTGAAGTTATTACAAAGGTTGGATTACCTATTAAGATTGGTGAAACCAAGTAATGGATAAATAAGTGGACCGCCTACATTATACTCAAAAGGGTTATCTTTGTGTCACTACACCCCCCCCCCCCTTCATCATGATAAATCGATTAAACTGCATTTCGGCCATTGATTTGGGGAAGTTGTTGGCATTTTGAAAAGAAAAAGAAAATTGCTTGAGAGTTGAGTATTCATTTTCGTTCAAACGGAGTGAATAACGCAAAAGCTTTGATTTACCCGATTGATCGGTCATGTAGTCGAGGAAATGTTTGTCCAACTATTTCTAGGGTTTTAGCGTTACATAGCTACTACAGCAATGTAAAACTGTACGCTCTTTTGACTAAAATCTCACTATTATGATGGCTGTAAACGGTTTTCTTATTGCTTGTTAATATCCCATTGATTCAACAACCAGAAGTTGTGATAATGAAAAAAAAAAAAAAAGATTTTGTTGTTGTTGTTGTTGTTGTTGTTGTTGTTATGGTGTGTGTTTACCTGACTGCAAAGAAAGCATTTGTTTTGCTTGTAAGTAATCGGGACCGACACCGTTAAATCCCATTAAAGCCTCTCTACGGGACTTGCTAATGGGCATTCCATGCTTTACCAAAGGGCACTTGCTCAGTGACTTGGCTTCGAACCTTGGACTTCCCGGTTACGAGACCACTGCTCTACCACTTAGTCACCACACCTCCACGACGTGTATGACTAAGTGGTAGAGCAGAGTCCACGAGGTTAGATATTGAGGATAACAAGTAGATATTGATAAACGATGAATTAAATAGCACTGTGATATAATAACAATTACAAGTATACTAGCTGTATAATATAGTTATGAAAGACTTACCTTGAGAAGAAGCATGATGCACCACGATCACCAGACTTACAAATACAAGACAGACGAGGTACCAAGAACGATTCATCATCATTTGGAGTGTTGTGACAACAATTGATTTAAGCCCAGAGAGGCTGAAGTTTTATATAGACATATCGCCTGCTTACATATTTATGAAGTTTCCTTGATAAAACTCCTCCCTCAAAATACTTCCCCAGAACACTAGAATTTAAAATTCTGGTTATTATGACGTGTGGTTTATAAGCGATGGAAAACAATTACCGGAAATGAATATGGTAGTTTAAAGGCATAATCCAGACGTAAAAACCCTTACAATGAAGGTACAAGTCATAATTAAAATTATAAAAATATCCGCTAAAGATGGTCACTTTTAATGATTGTGGACAATGGCAGCACTTCACAATAATCAAAGGCCCGGGCACATCGACAACCCTACCCCCTCCGAAAAAATCGAATCAAATTAAAAGGAGAGAAAGGAGAGAAAATGAAAGGCTATGTGTGGGCGTGTGGGTCGGAGGACGATAAAAGAAGATGATAGAACCCCTTTTACAACCTCCCCTTAGCGGTTGTGTGAGTGAGACCGATGCACCCCCTTGATATTAGTGTCCCCTCTATACTAACATTGACATAAAAACATACACTACTCATTTCACGTTAACTCGAACATTAATAGACATGCATACTTTTTTAAATCTTATAGCAAGTTGGAAATGGCATGCTGTAGGGGAAAAGGTCTGAGAGACATGATCGCAAACACTTTCAAGAAATCAGCTTTAAGGCTTAATATGGGCAATTCCACTGCCCTATCGTATCGTTTATAGAAACCAGTTTATGATTATGTAATAATGTCATTGTCATGTTTAAACATTCCAATATTTGGCACAGGCTATTGAAATTGCCAGAGTTTAATTGTTGAAAGTCTTTGTGATCGTTTTTAAGCTTTACATGTTTATTCACTAGTAAGTATCCCGTTGTTGTTGTTGTTGTTTATACTCCATGAGCGTGATTTTTGATGTTACATGTATATGTATTACATTATCTTACAATGCCGATGCAGTTCATGTACAGTTCCAGCGGACGATAAAATTGGGGCTAAATGTACAATAGTTGGACACGAAAATACCTTTAACATTATTCTGTCATCAGGAGATCAATCTTTAATCCAAGGAAATGAGTATCTCATTGTCCGGATGTTCCTTGTGAATTTTGGAGCAGCTGTATGTTCCGATATTTAAGAAAATGTTATTTTCTCATGCTTGTACAAGTTTCCTTTTATTGTCGATTTAACCTGCACTATTACTCATTTACATAAATGACGAAATTTCTCTTCATTTATCTTTCTCTTTCCAACTCTCTTCATCTGTTATCATTAATTCTTTATTGCAACCAAAACCTAAGGTTGGATTCTAAATACAAATCTTAAATCTAAGATCTAAGATCTTTTGAGGTCATATTGTGCTTCCTTTCTGACTCCCTATCTCTTTCTACTTTATTAAACACCAATCTTTTCCCTCTCTTCTGCTCACTAAATTTTCTCCTCTTCCTATAGAGCCAAACAAAAACTCTCAATTTCTTGCAAAATCGCTTTCAGTAACCTCATCTCTCTGTCATTTTATTTGGATATATCATAATGCTTCCAAGTTTCAAGTTTATTTGTTTCACATTTCACAAACAAGAATTCACATAATTGACAATATTAGAACATACTATGAAATATACTAAAAGTGTCACATTATATAATTACTTCTTTGAAAAGACGTCGAAATTAATTGTAATGAAAAGAAGGTTATACAGGGTGAAATGTGAGGAACCTATTGAAAAGCTCAACTTGTAGATTATAGGTTCCCGTAAACAAAACTAACATTTGAATGAAGTGGTTGTAACGGTGAAGGACGTAACAATATTGATAGATGGGCAAGAAGGCCTTGACATGAGATGATATACAACGTGAACAAGCAAAAATAGCAAAAAAAAAGCAAATACAGGAAACAAATTAATTTGTTACCAATTTGTTACCTCGATATAAAACGTAATTTTGATTAAATAAATTTATCTTGGTTAAAATGAAGGCGATATTGGTATAGAGGATATAATAATACAATCATATTAAAAAACATACTTCACACCTCAATGATATCATGTCTAGAATAATTTTTTTAATTTTGTTGAAATATATGCAAAAGATTAAAATAACAATACATTCAAACTCCAAGCTCTACGATGGAATATCGTGCAATCCGCATACCTCCCTAGTTTATATCGTGAAATATCAAAACAAAAGAATATGATTCAAACAAAAAATCCCCAAACTGAATGAATCTATTCATTAAGAGGACACTTTTTTTTTGGTCTCGAAATTTTAAAATTTGACATTTTGCTCTGTTGGGGGGGGGGGGGGGGATAAGGTCATTATTTTAGGCATAACAAAATTTAAAAAAAACACAAGGGGGGGGGGGTTGCTCTAAAATACACATATACAAAAAACTGAAGGGGGGGGGGGGTAACCTGTACAGTAAGCAAATATTAACCGACTACGAAGGTAATGGTATAGAGATATCGACTGCTACGACTGTGATGGCAGCGGAATCAACTTTCCCTTGAGCGTATAAAAACAGCCAGTCCTCTCTCGTAGCAGTCGATATCTCTATACCATTACCTTCGTAGTCGGTTAATATTTGCTTACTGTACAGAAGTACTATCACACCCCTAACTCACAGCTCAAGTGATGGTCAATCTATCATTGATCATGTGACCTCGTTTAGACCAATCAGATTGCAAGATTCTTAGTATTGGGGATATAATAAAGAATAATAATAAGAAGAAAACTTATAATAAAAAGTGACCATTTGTAATGCGCCATGTCGGTCAAAATGGCACATACGTCTATCAAGTTTATTTTTAACATACTTCATGACATAATTTTGCAATAATGTAATTGAAACATCACTTTTAACATTAAAGCAAGGTAACATACGCTTAATACATATACAAGTATATTGTTGTTTATAGCCAATACAATGTATATTATAGTAATGAAAGAAACTTTTTTTTTAAGGGTAGGTTTTATGACTATCTGTTTCTGTAAGGATGTCGCAAGCACATAACTGTGATACAGGAGCAATCCAGGGAGACAACTCCCAGAGAGATTCGCCTCTCACTCCTGTCGTACTTTGGGCATCTCTAAATGTCACTTCTACCTAAAGAACTAGTGTTGCGTCACCGTTAGTTGTCACATTGCGTTTACTTTGTATGGCGGGTTTGACTTCACGTAATGTCACGTCTGATATTAATCAGGATTTAAGAACTAGGTTTGATGACTAGTTCATAATTATCATGATACGAAAAAAGAGGGGGTGAATACACGTTGGATGCTGAAACATTTGAGTTGGGCATTTCTGATATGAATGAGTCCCAGTATTCAGTTTTATATGCTTGTTGCACAAGAGGCGTCATTAGTGACGTACAGGCGCGTACACATGGGGGGGGGGGGGGGGTTAACCTTTTGGTATTTTTGTGTTAACCTCCCCCCCCCCCCTTTGATTTTTTTTGTTTTTTTGTTTTTTTTGTTAATTATTTAAAAAAAAAAAAAAAAAAAAAATTATTCCCATGGCTGACCCCCCAACGGAGCCAAATGTCAAATTTTCAAATTTCGAGACCAAAAAAAAAAGCAAAAAACGTGTCCTCTTACACCCCCCGCTGTTGTTGTTGTTGTTGTTGGGTTTTAAGGCTGTTCGATCTGAACAAAAATTATTTCCGCCTACAAGCTATACTATTCTTCGAATTATTCATCTATGATGATTAGATGGCGCTGTTTTTTTTTCTTTGGCTCAAATATTGATTCAGTCATTTCAGTGTTACATTTTTCATCAATATTGCTCCTCGAATGGTCGCCACTGAGTTTCACAGCTTCTTTTCGTTGGTTGTAACCGTTAAATCGATGGTGCGGGCAATAGTTTAGGTATCGACCGTGAACAGGGTGCGAGTATTAATAAAGGTTAACTGTGCAGTGCTAAACTATACTTTTCCCTTCCTTCCTCCTCAAGAGACATAGAAGGCGAACATGAAATGATATAAATACTAAATAAAAATTAGCGTATAGGCCTATATATATATAATAAAAGAATAAATAAATACAGTTGGCTCTTTACATCACTTTGGAAAAGCTATTATAACTCAACAGCTACAATGAGTGATATCTACCTGTCGCTTTTATAAAAGCCACCAGAGCGTGCAGATGATCTTCTTTCCCCAATAAATTATGTTCACTTCTATATATCATTATACAGAAGATAAAATGGGTTGTATATTATGCGACAAAGTTTGTATATTTTGCAGCTCTATACTATACATTTTGTTATCCTTTTCTATTGCTATATGTAAAACCATAGGATACATGTATGATTTACAAGTACCGTAGACTAGGTCAGAGACGTGGGCTCTTGGAGCAGCATAATGAAAATCCACGCTTTCGAATTGTTGTGTTGGAGGAAGATGTTGAGGATATCCTGGAAGGCTCATAAATCAAATGATTTTGTCAAGAACCGAATTGGAGCAAAGGTCATCATATGCCAGAACATAGATAAGAACAAGTTGCAGTATTTCGGACACGTTTCTAAGAAAGAAGGTGACAACCTGGAGAAGTATATTACCCAAGGTCATGTTGAGGGTCGACGACAACGTGGTAGGCCAAAAGTTTGATGGGCTGACGGAATAAAAGAGTTTACTGGCATGAACAATACGGTCACAAATGGTCAGTCATGACTCGTAGGACGACGACGAGACTAGGTTGAGCAATATAACCTTTTAAAGGGCAATCCAACCTTTTAGCTTTATAATAAGTTGATATGTATACAAGCAGAAAATTAAGAGATACAGAAATGGTGAAAGCTTGAGATAAATCGGACCAATAAAAAGGAAGTTATGAATGTTTGAAATATGAGACGACTAAAGCTATGCAAAGCTCAAATTGGCAATTTGGTCAGTGGATTGTAATGTAGTCACTGGCAACTCTCCCATATGTCATGTACAAACATATGATTAATTTCTTTTTTTCTCAAAAGTGCCTTCTCCCTTCGAGCACTACTCAATTATTTGTATGCAAGGCATATTTGTATAGGTCCTCTAAAAAGAAAATACACGGCTGAGTCATACCTGTGTGTTGGAACACATGGCAAAGTTGTCCAATCCTTCATCTCAGTAATATAAGCAATTCTTATTTTTATTCGATTTTGTTTAAA